ATGGGGTTGCTTTTCTTCTCTCCATTTTATAACTTTCGATTTCTCTTGATACGATGATTCTGACTCCGTTTTCTAAAACATGGAGGGAAACTGTAATCTTAGCTTATTTTAATCTAAGGTTAACGTGAAGTCTGCGCATTTCGAGTGGAAATGTTGTTTTGATTTTAACAAAATTTCTTTTTCCTATTTTTCTTCGCTTTTTCTTTAACAAAGAGAAAATATTTCGTATTTATATTTTATAAAGAGAATTTTTTTAGAATGCGTTATTTCTATTGTTTTTATATCATTTTTATTTCCTATCTCCAATCCTTTGCACATCGACATTATCCGAGGGTGATCCGGCAAGAACATCGGCAAATCCATCCGGGAATCCAAAAAGACATCGACACAAAAAGAGTAGTAGAAGGAAATATCTAAGATATCAGATTTTAGAAATAAGATATTTATCATGATTTAAATATACAGGGTGCGTCATAATTGCTGCAACAAGATACTCAAGGCATTTACACACCCTCCCCCGAAGTTTCACTGGAAGAAGATTTTTAAACAGAAATAAGCTTATTTAACAGTAACAAATAAAAAGGGGAAACAAGAGATCATTCGATATGATCGCCTTTTTGCCTTGATAACAGCCCTTAATCGGTTCGGATATGCCTCCACTGCGGCCCGAATGTCATCTTCCCGAGTCGCCTTCCATCCTTTGGTCAAAAGACTTCTTCAAAGAATCCAAATTTCGTGTGTTTTCGTGTGAACGGTAGCCTCTAAGATTGCCCAAATGGAAAAGTCCATTCCATTGAGATCCGGTGAGTTTGGAGGCCATTCATCCTTAGTGATCACTGAGGGAAAAGTTGGCCACACGCAAGTCCTGAACCGTCTTCTTCGATGTGAGCAGGGAGCTCCATCTTGCATGAAGGTCAATTTTGATTGTTATTGGCTTTACGCCCGCTGACATCACATTCTTGACATCACAAACGGTCTTTGAACTCTTGTTACAATAATTATGACGCACCCTGTATAAAATATAAAATATACTTGATTATCGATTTATCATTGATTCGATTTCTGTTTAGCTCCTTTGCTAAATGATGAGCTCACTAACTTGTTTGCCGATTCTGCATGTTCTCTCAAAAGATTTCCTATTGTATGTTGTGTTCATGTTGGTGTTGCATCGTATTCCTATTCTTAGATTTCTTAAATTTAAATAGTCGGCTTTGATTAGTAAATTTCTTTAATATTAATCAAAAAGTCAGCAAAAAAAAAGGAGCAGCTTTTGGGAGATTGAATTTCAGTAGAGAACTTATTGTTTGCCTTTTCCAGTCTCTTTGTGGGACACTGGACTTTGGGGGAGAAAGAAACTAAGAATATTGTCTGCTAGATTAAAGTCAGATATTGTTTTTTAAATATTACGGAAAAACTAGAACCACAATTACTCCCTTTAAGCAGTAATCAGGAAGGACTAAAATAAAAAAGCGAAGGTAAGGTTAGTTTCAACCTTGGATTTCTTGCTTTCGCTTAACAGGGATCGACGAGCTTAACGCTTAGAATACTAGAATGAAATCCAGCCAAATTTGGGGCAAAGATGCTCTCAGGAGTGGGCTAGGATCCATAAGGAAGGCAACTCTCTGAAGCGGCGTTTTCTCCGACAAAGGGTGGAGATTAGCTCGCATCAACACCTTGTACCGGTTAGGAAAGGAAGGATGGTATTTACCAGAATATCTCTTTTCGTAACGGGGAGAAGAAAAAAGAAGAGGCCAGAAAGTGAGTTTGTCTTCTAATTGAAGAAAAAAAAAGATAGTCCAATCAGTTCTGCCCGAACCTATAAAATACAGAAATATTAGTTAGAATTGGGGAAGAATGTTCGGATAGGACAGATGAAAGAAGAAGCGCTGAGGGACACTTGTCCGGGGCGTGCCAGAGAAGAGATTGTGCCCGAGCACCGAACAAAGAGGCCTCAGAGATGGGAAAGATATAGTGAATTTGACTAGGGTTTTGGGTCAGGGAATCGGTTGGAGTTTGTTATTATTATTGGGTTTACCAATTGGATAGGCTAGAACTCATAGGCGTTGAGCTGGATCTAATCCTTTCTCTCCATGAAGTGGCCATAGCTGTCATGTGGGAGTGGTGTGCTAGTTGTATGCGCTGATAAGTCAGGTCAAGTTAATGCAAAATATCTATCTCTAGACATAGGTCCCAACCTTTCCGTTGCCGTTATTAGGTAGCCCACTTTAAACCAAACGTTCCATTCAGACGGCTATCATTCTGCTGTGAGTTGGTGACGGGGATCAAGCACACATCAAACGGATCGTCATCCAGTGGACAGAGCGGTAGAGTAGCGATGTTTGGACTCCTTCTATTGTGTTGTGTGGAGAAATGAGGACAATTCATTTAAGAAAAAAAGAAATATTATAAAAATGAGTGTACCCATTTTACAAAATTCGATTGATACCTGGAGATGCTGTTTGGCTCAAAAACAATGAAAAATGAAAAAATGCAAAAAAAAAAAAAAAATGAAATGGATTTTGATAAGAAAAATGAAAAAGCAGCCGTCACCGATTGGATGAGAGAAAAGAAAAAGAGTCAGCGGGGGAACAGGGCCGAGAGAATGCGATTGTCCTCGGATTCTCACCGATTGGACCTTTGTTTATCAGCTCGAATTCGTACGGAAAAGTAAATCGTTAACGTCCCAAAAATAGAGTTAAATGATGAACGGTGGAAAAAAACTGAAAGGGAAAAGAAAGGGATTATAAACAAAAGGGATATAAAATGAGTATAAAAATAAAAAAAAGAGTATAATAAACGATAAAAAAAAAAGGTGTAAAATAAAATGGAGAAAAATAAAGAAAGAAAAGCGGAAAACGACATGAAAAATGGAGATAAGGGTAAAAGTAAATGCAGGAAGTGAAAAATAGATGGGGAGAAAACAGGAAGGGACAAAACAGTGGGGAGAAAACAGGAAGGGCATAAAAGTGGGTATTGGTGGAGATCAGATCAGGTTGGGCATTCCAAAATCAGACTTGGTAGTAGATCCAATCGGAAGCAGCATTAAAATCAGACATGGGGAAAAAGGAAGGAAAAAAATCAAAAAAAAAAAAAAAAGAAAAAGAAAAAGTAAAAAAAGAATGAGAAAGAAAAGAGAAGATGGGGGGGAAAGGAAGGAAGAAAAAAAGAAAAAAAAAGGGAGGGAACGATGGATAGCGAATCCAGACCCCGACAACTGTATCCTTATGAGAGTCCACAAATCACTTCATATTAAAGGATAGAACTGATTGCTAATTGATTGATAATCTAGCTTCATTAGCACTCATCGTTGATAAGAAAGTTAGTTTGATAGATTTGGCTGAAAGATGTAGAAATTCCAAATTTAAAAAAAGTAGAGGATTCTGTAGTTTCAAGAAAAGATACAAAATTGAAAAAGAAAGGGAAAAATAAAACTGAGAAAAAAGTACGGTAACAGTTAAGAAAAGAAAGTGATTATGTTTGTCCTTTTTTATCAAAATTTTCATCCGATTTAGAGTTCGAATATCCACGTGATTTGCTTTTTAGGACAGGATCCATATTAAAATAGAAATGTTTTTATTCTTTCCCAATGTTCTCCAAAAAGAAAAGAAAGAAAAAGAAAGAATAATCATTAATGAAAAAATCGTTGGAAAAATGGTGAAAAAAAAAAAAAAAAAAAAAAGGGTGGGAAATGGTTGCCCCTGGTGCGACTTACTGGAAAAGGCCAGGAGGTCGTGGAGTTCGAAAATATTCCAAAAAGGGATCTGCGGATTCGATCGATGAAATGGTGTGAAAAAGAAAGGAAAATACGATTGCGTTCCGCGTTGCTGAGTGTCAGTTGATATCCCGTGCGTCCATGCGTTGTCTCCGGTTCACAAGGTGCGAAATATCCAGGTGAGGTGGCGTCTCCTCCCCGTAAAAAAAAAAAAACAACAAAATGGAACCAGGTTGCCTTGTGTGCCATGAGGGGGAAAAAAAAAAAAAGGGGCCCCGGAGAAAGGGGGAAAAAAGGTCTGGGGTGGGGACAAAGATCTGGGGGACAACAGTCGCCCCGCGTGGACCGGAATCTTCATCTATAACAGGTTTAAAATCGACATTAGCTCCAGTAAAACATTTAAAATTTCTATTTTATCTTCTCTAAATTGTGCCCCAATTCGGTTACGGTAGTTTTTGGCTGAATATTTTTGATCGTAGCTTCACGGTAATCAAGATCTTCAATTCTCTGTATTTAGATCAAGAAATTATATTAGGTTGGTGAATTTGAAAACTGCGGGACTTTGAACTAAAATTTATTCAACATAAAACCATCAATTCATTCCAAATAGTTTCCATTATTATTGACGACTTCTGCCCATTTTACAGGCAATTTGCGGATTCTCTCTTTCGTGGTAGGATTTTGGTTTTGAATCGAAAAACTTTCAAAGCCAATTTTTGACTGCTTCTTCCGAATCGAAGGTGTTCTCCCGCAAAGCTCATTACTCATGATCCGGAAATAAATAGTAAACAGAAGGGGCAAAGGTCCGGGCTGTATGGGGAAATGCGCCAAAAAGTTCTCAAACAAGGCTATTTATTTTAGAGCGAGTCAGTGTGAGACTCAAAAATGGGGGACTGAGATGTCCCAGTTTGAGCACTTTCTTCAAAAGGAAACCCATTTTGGTGTTAATAGAAAGTTGTAGAGAATCAAAAATCAGGCTTATAGCCAAATTTCCAAAAAGATACACTTAGTATTTTCGCTTAAAATGCAAGTTTTGTGAAAATTCGTAAATTTGGCATTTCTTCTGAAATCTGAAACCAGTTTTTGAATCGTTCTGAAACTTTGGATATAAGCTTTATTTTTGATTCTCTACAACTTTCCATTGACACCAAAATGGGTTCTTTTTGAAGAAAGTGCTCAAACTCTCACATATGATAATAGCCGGCAGTTTTCAATTCACACAACCCAATAAATATATACCAGGATATCAAGATCACAATTCAAGATTTGTATCAAATCAAATTGCAGTATGGAGACGAAAGAGATGTTGTCTGAGAATCGCTTTGATGTGCGATTGCAAAGCGATGGTGAAGTGAAAATCAACATGCCCGTTTTCACCTCGGTGCTTTGTCGATTGAACATCGAATTGTAAAGGATCGAATAGTTAAATTTTACGATTTCATGTTCAGATTTCCTTTCGATACACAATTTTGTGCCGTTGCCTTGGCGTCTCCACTCTTGAATGTCCAAGAAATGGATGTAAACGCCACACAGCCACCAAATGATGCCTACTTTGCGGTAAAAGAAAGAAAGAAAGAGAGAAAGAAAGAAAGAGAGAAAGAAAGAGAGAAAGAAAGAAAGAGAGAAAGAAAGAAAGAATAGAAGTATCTTTACCAAGAAAGAACACGGTTTTGCTCAGAAATCCATTTGAATTCAATTTTTGAATAAAAGATTTCAGGGTAACGCTGAATGGGAAGTGATAAATGTGACTGTTCGACAGATGAGATTTATGGAGTATGGAGAGTATCGTGTTGAGGTTGATTGAAGCAAAATTGATGCCTTCTTTTCAAGAGATCAATTACTTAACGAACTCTTTAAAGTCGTAGTTTATTGTCTTAATAGATTTCTAGATTTCTAGATTTCTGATTACCGAATTCAGGTTCATTACATTCTTCACCTCAATCGTCGACCGATCTACTATGTGACAGTGATCGTTGTGCCCACATTTCTCATCTCAGCGCTCTCAATTTTGGGAATTTTCTCTCCCGGATCAAATGATGGACCAAGGAATGAAAAGGTGAGAAAAATTCATTATTCGATTGAGTCCTGTTCTCAAACGTAATCAACATTGTAAATTCTAGGTTTCCCTTGGGCTTGGCTCACTCTTGGCGATGACTGTACTTCTAGATATCGGTATTTTACGTACTTTTTCATTTCTCTAGCTTTATCCCAAATTTAGTTGCCGGTGCAATGCCCAAATCGAACTCAATCCCCCTTCTCGGTTTCTATATTATTGTTGTGATTATGTTGTGCGCAGTCGGTGTCGCGATATCAATGGCTCTTCTTGGGCTTTCAAGGTAACATTAAATAAGTGCATTTGTTGGTCTCCGACTCCGGGCAAAACTTACAGCTGAATATCTTGTATCAATACAAAATAATCCCGATGCAAAAATATTCTTTGTGTGCTCGCGTAATCGTTCGCCATTTGGCCAAGGTCCCCGGTACAAGGTACTTCCCTATTGGATTGAGGGAGCGAATCCGTGTATTTCTGCTTCGTTATACCAATTTCTTTTTTTCATTAGACTAAATTCAATACCAAATTCTTGGCTCTAGTTTTGCAACTCTTGGTTCTGGTTTTGCAACTCTTGGCTCTAGTTTTGCAACTCTTGGTTCTGGTTTTGCAACTCTTGGCTCTAGTTTTGCAACTCTTGGTTCTAGTTTTGCAACTCTTGGGTGTAGTTTTGCAACTCTTGGCTCTAGTTTTGCAACTCTTGGGTGTAGTTTTGCAACTCTTGGCTCTAGTTTTGCAACTCTTGGCTCTAGTTTTGCAATTGGCATCCCGCCAAACCATTACGCCAATAAAACAGCAGCCAAATTCACAGAACAATGCGATCCGATCCGAGAATTTTATCTTACCCATAAATGTATTACAGGTCGTACATCCAGACCGAGCAAATGCCTTCGAATGCCGCCTATCGTTTACTGATCATGTCACCGATGAAAAAAGTCGACAGTATAACTGTGAACAACTATGCGCCCATTGAAATGATCAAGAATGCGTGAGTGCATTTTGAAAATTATTTACAAAACAATTTTTTCACTCCAAGTTTTCCATTTTAGCGCAGAAAGCGTTGTAAAAACGTCAACAGCGCAATTGTTGCGGTAAATTGTGAACAAATTTCTTCTCCAAGCTCAGCCAAATAGCCTTTTCGTTGCTTGCTTTGAATAAAAGAGAAAATCGGATTGAATGGGAAAATTTTAGACCGAAATTCCCGGATCTGGCCGCAATTTACATTCAATTGACGGAAGTGGCACGAGCACAGAAAACTTATCGAGAGCGGATAGAAAGAGCCGCCTGGAATGGAAGGGTAAGTCTTGAGCAAGCATTAAAGCAAATAGATTAGAGAAAAGCTAGCTACAGTTACAGTAACCTAAGAATAAGGCTTGCCCTTTAATATAAGGCCTTTCTGGCTTTACATTAAAGTCATTTGGGTTACGTTTTAGAAAACGAATTATTTAAACAAACAAAACAAACGCAGGAAACGAAAAAAATTGGGAAAAGAACATGAAAAACAGACAAAAGACAAGATATTCCTGTAAAATTAGACAAAAGTTTTTGCCTGAGATCATTAACTGGCTGTACGCGGTGGCGCACAATCTACCCCGCCAAATTTTAACACTCAATTCAGCTTCCAGCTCTCTAGAATTTTGAAATTCGACTTTAGAAAATATTTAAATAATCTAACATGACACTCTTGCTTAGGTACTGTTGTAACAATCTATTTTTGCAAATATAGCCAATTTCTACCAATACCGTGATCTTTTTGAGTTAAAACTTTACTATGGCTTGACGAAAATGTATGTCGGTCCTTTTTTTGTGTTTTTCTCAGCATAAACCCTTCAATTTTTGACTATTTTGATTATCATTGGATGCAGAATAAAATTGTGCATCAAATGATACCAAAATCAACTTGAAATGTGATTTTCATGTAAAGTTATTGGCTAAAAGCCTAAAGTCGGCCTATTATGGACGGGAATTAACCTTTTGCCTCATAAATTTACATGGAAATTACATTTTAATTTGATTTTGGTATCATTTGATGCGCAATTTTATTCTGCATCGAATGATAATCAAAATAGTCAAAATCGAAGGATTTATGCGAGAAGAAAAACTAACCTTAAATTGTCAAAGGGGAAAAAAAAGGAAAAACAGATGTTTTCATTACAGTCTAACAGTCTAGCCAAACACACAGATTTTCGAAGCCAAGTCAATTCCCAATTCGAGCCTAGCCAGATTAGATTTTTTAGAAATTTTTGAAGGAAATTTGCTAAACGCTAAAGATAATTTCTATTTAAAAATTGCTAAACAAACTTTTTCTTTTTTTCGACAAGTGAGAGTCAACAGCGGCTGGCTTGAGGCAAAAAAAAAGAACAAATTTGATTTTAGTTCAAGTGAAACTTTAGTAATATCATTTAAATCATAAAGCTAACTTCTGAAGCATAAAGCTAAGCTTTTAAATCATAAGGCTAATTTCTGAAATTTGAGGTAGAAAAGGAATGGAATCGAATCTTTGCCCGTGTCGATCACGTCTTCCTTTTCCTCTTCGAATCGCTCAATCTTCTCATTTTGCTTCTCTTCCTTCGATACGCCTTCTTGCCCGTTCCCGATTTGCCCGATGATTTTACTGTGTAAGAAATATAAATATATAACAAAAGATATGATTTTTATAAGTCAACCACCTCCCGTCACCTTTAGAATTTTCAGATTTTGATATTGTGAATTAGATTGGTGTTAAGTAGAGCGGCTTTTTCCTTTGAAGTGAATCCTTTGTTGTGGAGTGTTGTCGAGGATTGGCTAGCTCTTGGTTAAATTTATCCTTGCTTATTTTCATTTCAGAAGTGGAGCCGACGTGGGAACAATCCAGACTGCACCCTTGTCTCAATACTAAACCACACCTTTATCTATCCACTCACCCCACTCTCTCTCGCTCTCCCTCTCCCATTTCTTCTCTTCTATCAAATGTCTGGTCAAATCTATCCTCACTAAACACATAAAAGGTTCAGAATTTGCAAGAGAAGTTGAAGAAGTAAAGTATTTTGTCAAATAGGGCATTTATCCAGGCAATCCAAACCATTTATTCTAACTTTTCTCAGTTAAAGCAAATTTTATGGCTTGTTCTATAGAACTTGATGAGCTCAATCAAACGATACAAATCTTGATCTACTAGAAAGCTTGATCTTTGATCAAAAGGGTGATCAATATTTTCAAAAATTTTGAAAGTCTTGCCCCAAAAACTTGGCCGAGAAACATCGGCGTCGGGATCCGAACCCGCGACCGCTAGCCGACCGCGGGCTAAGGCTCTACCAATGCGCTACATCTACACGTATCCTCTTGCCGCCAAGATAGGGCCTTATGCTTTACTTTATGTTTATCGATCCAGAGTACCTGGATAAAATGGAAAATTTTTATTAACTTTAACGCCATCGATCAAGATGTACTTTCTACATCTTGATCGATGGCGATGGCGATCCACTTTCGGTCATGAGCATCAAGATCGATCAAGATATACTTTTTATTATTGAGTCTAACTCGTAGATCTCGTTTTTAGCTTTTTCTATAAAGCTTTCTATAAAGCTAGCTAAATCAATTGCTTTTACGATGAGTATGGCCTCGATAAATGCCTTGAATGGCAACATTATTTGTCCTCTTCAACACCATTTGCATTCAAGCTACTCCCTTTCTAATAAAATTTTGCTAAAATTTTTGTTTAACAACTTTCGAGAACTAGATTAACACTAAATTGAATGAATGAATCAAGAAATTCTTTTCAGTGGCTGAATCTGTTATTCTTTTGGCTGGAAGAATGAAATGAAAAGCTGCATTTATTTTTGTTTAAATGATCGGGTTCTTTTCTTCTCCCCATTTCCTTTGTCCTAAACTCTTGCCTGTCATTTTTGGTGCTGTTATCGGGTATTCCCTTTGTTTTACCTGGGTTTTTAGTCATGTTTTTTTTGAAAATTTGTAGGAAAGATCTTCGTCCAGAATTCTTAGCAAATCTTATTTTCATTTCATGTCAAAATATTTGATCCTTTCAATTCTCTCAATTCAATGCTCAATGTATGAAATGATTTTCCCCTCGTAATTTTCGTGAAATGTGCTGTGTTTTCTTCTTTTTTTTTTCGATATTTTCAATTTGTAAGAATAAAATGATCAAATTTAATTGCTAAAATCATTTTTTGATTAGTGAATTTGCTAAAAGAGTTGCTATAAAGAGAATTTTTTTTTTGGCTATTGGGTTGTCCAGTTATGAATGCGCGTTTTTACTATTTTGTAAATTTCTCAAGATATCGAAGAGATGTACCGTATTTCTTCGAATAGAAGACCGGGTAAAGAGTATCATCGCGTACTCCTGCGTAGCAACCCTTTTTAAAAATTCTTTTCTGCATAAAAGCTTTCAATGAAGTGCTATAGAGCTGGAAAATGGCTCAAAAAATCTGTTAGCTCATGTGGTATTTTTGAGTCATTTTCCAGCCCTATAGTTTTTCATTGAAAGCTTTTATGCAGAAAAGAAATTTTAAAAAGGGCTGCTACGCAGGAGTACGCGATCATACTCTTTACCCGGTCTTCTATTCGAAGAAATACAATATGTGAGTGTTATATATCATTCGAAAGCTGAACATCTCCTCTACATTTTGATATAAAAAGCTTTGGAGTTTGTTCAGCTTTTGGGCAAATTGATTGCACAAAGGGAGAGGTCGTTTTCGAAAAAAACCCATTCCAGCTTAGCTATTCCTCAAGTTTTATGGTGTAAAATAACCGCCCAGAAAAGAAAAGAAAAGTAAAGATACTCTGAAACTCTTATATTTAAAAAAAACTTGTATTGATATATCTATTGGCCAAACATCAAACGGTTTACTCAATTTGAGCGGAGCCAAAACTTGATCCAAAGGCACCCTTCCATTTTTTGGCCACCTCTTCTTCTGTGCAGTCAATTTGCCCAAAAGCTCGACAAATTCAAAAGCTTTTTATATCAAAATGTAGAGGTGATCTTCAGCTTTCGAATAATACTCATATATATCTTTTTCTTGATTTCGGTATCTTGAGAAATTTAGAGAATAGTAAAAATTTGATTAGCATAGCATTTGAATAGCATTCATAACTGGACAACCAAATATAAAGAGAATTACGAATCTTTCTTTCAGATTTTGTGTTCGATTCACTAAATTCAATTCACTCAATTCAATTCACCAATTCCAACCAAATTCTGATCTTATTCGATGAAGAGCTAAACTCTAAATCGATTTGAAACCCTAAATCGATTTGAATCAAAAATTAAATAGAACCGAAAAATAGAATTGACAAAATCCTAAAGAAAAGATACGAGAATTCTCCAAATTTTCCACCTTTTAGAACTTTTAGAACTTTTAGAACTGTTAGAACGAATTGCTTACAAAGAGAAAAAAGACTTTACTTGAAAAATCAATTACAGATTCTGATCACACGACGAGAAGAAAAAAAAAGAAAAAAAACAAGAGAATGAGGGTAAAAGTGCCTTAAAAAAAACTGAAAAATTCAATAAAATTTTGATAAGAACAAAAAAAAGATTGATCAAGTGAAAATGCATGAAAAATGATGAAAATCAAAAGAATTATACAGAGATTTCAATGGCATAAAATTCATTTTAATGACTTCAATTCAATATTTTCAATATTCAATTTCAATTCAATATAATGAGCCCGTTAAGTGGCAGTCAGAAAATAGGATTTATCGAGGTTTAAGAATACTTTCAATCATTAATATATCGTTTTGAATGAATTCTTTATGAATTCGTTATGAATTCGCTATGAATTCGTTTTGAATTCCTTATGAATTTAAACAATTCTCTTTTCAACTTCTTCATACCGAACGCCGCTCTCTTCCATCCCAAGACTCCCCTGGATTCTGAAAAGAGAGATTTCAGCTTTCCTACTTACTGAAAACTTTTAGTGATTTAAATAGGGGTTACAAGTCGCAAAGCAAAGAAAACAGCGACTTATCTCTTTGAAGGAAACATATACCGTAAATACTGTAATAGTACCCCACCCCCTCTCGTACAGTCGCGTAGTCGCAAAAGTTTTTTCGTATTTCATTTTTTCAAAGCGTCCGTACTTTCAAAAAAATAGCTGAAATTCAGGGCTATTTTTTGATACCTAAGCGCGCATTGTAGCATAAACCAGTGTCGAGAAAAACTCGTTCAAAGCTAGACTACGCAACACTCCGCACCGTCATTATGAGAGTGGGGTACTATTACAGTATTTACGGTAGATTACTCAAGCGAGCTCAAACTCTCGCTTATATTTGGAAGGAAAATTCTGAAGAAAGATTAGACAACAATAATGGGTTTTCTAAAACGGCCAATTTTCAAAAACCTACCGAAATCTTGACTCTATTTACAAATCTATCTGTTTTATAGAATCATTAAAGCAAATAGATTGGAGAAAAGCTAGCTACAGTTACAGTAACCTAAGAATAAGGCTTGCCCTTTAATATAAAGCCTTTCTGGCTTTATATTAAAGCCATTTGGGTTCCTGTAACAGTTTATACAGTCGAAGTTCGAGATAACGAATCGCTTGGAATCGAAAACTTCGATATAAAGGCCCAAAAATGTGGCTCAAATTTTGTGCTTAGCTGCCCTGGACGGTCAGTGATTTCATTTGGGGCAGCTACGCAGAAATTTTGTTTTAAACACGTTTCAGAATTTTAAATTCGTTCTTTCGAAGTTCGTTTTATAGAAATTTGTCTGTAGATACTAGTTTTCGAAAATTTGAAACACGTTTTAGAAAGCGAATTATTTAAACAAACAAAACAAACGCAGGAAACAAAAAAAATTGGGAAAAGAACATGAAAAGCAGACAAAAGACAAGATATTCCTGTAAAATTAGACAAAAGTTTTTGCCTGAGATCATTAACTGGCTGTACGCGGTGGCGCACAATCTACCCGCACTCAATTCAGCTTCTCCAGCTTAGCGAAGAGTCAATCAATCGATCCAATTCTTTTTTTTATTATCAAATTGAATATATTTCTCCTGCAATGTGTGTTTTCTGGATTTGTTCAGAAAAGTTTCTAAACTTTTGCTAGAGCGCTGCAAAGTTACGAAACGCGTTTCCTGCGGCGGAATCGTGATTTTCTGATTTTTGTAACTAGTTTCAATGGCTTAAAATGAAAGAAAAGCAGCTTCATTTATTGCTTTTTGGCTTAAAATGAAAGAAAAGCAGCTTCATTTACTCCTTTTTGGCTTAAAATGAAAGAAAAGCAGCTTCATTTATTCCTTTTTGGCTTAAAATGAAAGAAAAACAGCTTCATCTATTCCTTTTTACTTATTATTTCCAAAATCTAGCTCATTTTTCTTAGAAAACAATGAATTTCGATTAGGGATCAAAGTTCAAAATGTGAATTTGATTTGATTTGATCAAAGTGCGGGCAATTGTGCGCCATCTTCTATCGTTAGCTATTAAAACAAAGGAATCACTTCAAAAGTTAAAAGTAATTAGATGTAATCATTGAATTTCATTCATTAAATGATTAGATTCTCGAAATTCTCCAAATCATTCCACGCCAAATCGTGTCCATGATGCTTTTTGTGATGTTTTTTCGATGATTGCTTGCTTCCCAAATTCTCCTCTCTTTCATCGCTTCTCTTTTTCTTTTTCAATGCCGCTTTGTCAAGAGAATTCTCATCAGACTGAAAGAATTATAGCACTTCAAACTGTTAGAAAACAATCACTTTTGAATCAAACATTTATAGGGACTTTTTTTTTTGGAAATTTCCGCATCGTATCTTACCCATAATGTGTGCGAACATTTGAACTCTAGGAAGAAATTTGTAAGGGTTAGATTTTCAGTTAAAAAAAAACTCTCTAAATAACTCACATCACCGTTCTTCCATGCACAGAATTCCATCGGTAAACCATCGGGTCCAATCGGGCAAGGAGCATCCAAACCGGGAATCCCTTGATCACCCTTTTCTCCTTGTAAACCTGGCTCTCCGGGTGAGCCTGGTTGACCGATTTGGCCTTGAGCACCCTAGAAGACATTCTTGTTACACTAGATCAAGTAGAAAAGGGTTAAAGTCCCAGTTTTTAGATCAAGATCGAGCACTTGTCAGTAGCATGGAGCTCTTTCAAAACGAGTTTTTCAGGTAGTCTCAATTGGCTGTCAAGGCTGACTGGTTAAGAGCCCCGTCTCCTAGTCGGGAGGGCGAGCCAGACCGGCGGGTTCGATCCCGGTGACTAGTTTTTTTTTCTTTTAAGGATATTTTTGTATTGTTTATACATAATTCATATGAATAAATGTATTTTAAAAGATAAATTTAATCATTGATGGTTAAACACCAGTATCCAAATTTCTTTCAGGAGATCAATACTTTCTAGTAGTTCTTTTCATCTGTTTTCCATATGATTTCACTCACCATTATCCCTGGATCTCCCTTTGGGCCTGTTGGTCCTTGTTTTCCCTGAAAATTAAGTCAAATTTCTTGACACAAAGCAAATTTCAACTATTTTCATTTAAAAGTTCATATCTTGTTAATGTGCATTCACTAAACAACATCACAAATATGATCAACAAAACGATTAAACGTGCTTTCCAAACCTCACACAGCAATCAAATATCAAATCGATTTTATAATCGATCTAGTGTTCCTTTTTTGCTCACAGCAAACGTGTTTGATTTTTTAAATTTTTAATAAATTTTCAAACATACTAGCTTTCCTTCAGCTCCTGGTGGACCTCGAAGTCCCATCGGACCGGGAGGACCCTAAAAACATATGAGATACCTTTTGAAATGTGAAATGTTTTGAAAACGAATGATCATTATAAGTACTAACCGGTAAACCAAGACTTCCTGGGTGTCCTGGCAATCCATCACCCCTATCTCCTTTCTCTCCTCTTTCCCCAGGTGTTCCCGGTAAACCGGGAATCCCCGGTGGCCCAGGAGGTCCCATCACTCCTTTACCGTCACTCGTTGATGGAGAAACTTCCAGCACTTGACCCTAAAAGGTTTCTATTGCCTTTCAAAAAAAGATTTTCCTAACGGGTTGCCCGGGTAATCCTGGTGCTCCCAGATCTCCTCGTTCTCCTCTCTCTCCTTGATGTCCAGGCAATCCTTGTGGTCCTCGGTCACCCTTTGTGCCTGGTGGGCCCTGAAAATTACCGTAAAATAAAAGAATCTAATAGAAAAGACTTCTGTAGGAGTAATCTAAGTTTACTCAAAGAATCGCTTATATCTTGACGCCAGTACGTTTGTTTCTGGGTATCAAATGAAAGTAGAGAGGATGGGTGATTTCTTTTTGTCATCTAATTAAAGTATTTTAATTATAAGTAAAATTAGTAAGAGAATATTGGTTTTTAAAAGAAGTATCTTTAAATTAAATTTAAAAAGAAAGACAATCATGTGACAAAGATCCTTCACAAAGATCCTTCCGAAGATCCTTCCGAAGATCCTTCTGTCACAAGAGGTGTCATGACCCGAGGATCAGAGCATCATCCAAAGGTTTCGTGACCAAAGTCACTTCACTGGGTGGCAAATGCCATGTGATTAAAGTTATAGTAGTTCGGTTTCGTCCCTAAGCCGAGACCGAATGATGACACTGGGTTGTGACTCGTCAGTTGACGCCCAGTGGATCGAATTTAGAAAAGAAAATATAAGCCTAGAATCTAAGACATTTAGCCGACACAATGCTCTTATAGAGGGCACTTCTATTAGAACTTTTACGGTATTTGATTTATAGAATTCATCGTTCCCTACCAATGGTCCTGGCAATCCTGGTGGTCCAGGGTATCCGTGTTTCACTCGGAGTTCCGTTAACTTCTCTTTGATCGCTGGTAGGATCTCTTTAACCAAATCATCGACATTACCCAACTGATTCGAGCCAGGTGGGCCTGGAAGACCTGGTTTACCCTAAAAAAATACGTCTCTAGTAAAGTTAAAAAAAGCGATTTCTTGAACTGAACTAAACTGAACTGAACAGAACATTTTGAATGCTAAAAGTTGTATTAGAAATGCTCGAAAATGAAAGATTAGATGCACCAAAGACCCAATGAATCAAGACTCAGTCACTTCACATGTGAACATGCCAAAAAAAAAAATCAAATTGAATTGTTATTTAGTTTTTTTTTAATTTAGCATGAGTTTTCTTACACGTCGTCCCTTCTTGCCAGCCTCTCCCGGTGGCCCGATTGGCCCTTCTGGCCCCATTTTTCCCTGATTTCCCGGATCGCCCTAAAGATTACAGAAAAAATGTTAAGAAAAACTCAAATGTTATGGAAAAATAGTACAAAGGTGCCGAAAGCAACAGCTGTTTTTCTTTCCAAAGCAAATGTTAGATAAATCTGGAAGTATGGAAAAAATAAAACAAACCTTTTCGCCTTTCTCCCCATCTCTTCCATCTCTCCCCGGTGGTCCAGGAGGTCCAGGCTGTCCATCTCCTCTTCCCATTTTTCCACTTTGCATAAATCCGGCTTGTCCTGGTTGTCCTGGTTGCCCGATATTTCCTCTTTCACCTCGTTCACCCTTTTCACCCTAAAGTGAACCGTTAAAGCATTTGATTTGGTCGACAGTTTTCAAAACAGAAAACTCTCGAACTAAATTCAAATACTGTAATCATGATACGAAGTGTTAGCTAGCTTTGAACGCGTTTTTCTTGACAATTGTTTAAGCTACAATGCGTGCTTTGGTATCAAAAAATAGCTGAGATTTAGATTTTTTTGAAATCAAAGACGCATTGAAAGAATGAAGGCTTGGAAAAAAATAAAATACGAAAAAACTTTTGCGATTGCGCGATTATTACAGTATTTGCGGTCGGTTATCGTTTTCTTTTTAGTATCAACACTCGTCTTTTATTAGTTTTCTTAAGACGGACAATTCTCAGAAGCTTTTTTAGTTAGCAAGACTTTCCATGTTAGCTCATTCATCACATTAGGATACCTTGCTGCCCTGGGTACAGAGCCCAGGAAGGCCTGGCTCTCCCGGGGTACCTGGAGGACCTGGAGGACCCACAGGACCCGGAAGAAGCCACTGCGAAGCTTGTTGCTGGATTGTGCTTGATTCACCCTAATTAGCTTATAGAAAACTGTTCAATGATTTATTTTTCAAACAAACCTTAGGCCCTCGTTCACCGGGTGGCCCTCGTGGCCCGGCAAGTCCATCTCGACCTGGCTCTCCGGGATCTCCTTTTGGACCGACCTGGAAAGATTGAGGTCTATAGTTACATCTATATGGAATATAGATCAGTTAGATCCATATTCCATAGAGATCTTACAAGTATTGCATCTTCACATGAACTTTAGATCTAATTCTAATGCAACAAACTTTGCTTTCTCCATCAAATCCAGGCAATCCTCGTTCACCCTTTGGCCCAATTAATCCATCTAAACCGTCGCGACCGGATTTTCCTGGTGGACCTGACAACAATGAGATCTTTTAAAGCTTGCAACTCTTTTAGAGCTTTCAATTGAATTCAATTTTGTACCTGGAAGTCCAGGTGGTCCAGCCACCAACATTGGAGATCCGAGCATTGGGCCAGTAGTCATCTAAAACTTTGTTTAACTTTTTAAAGTTTAATCAAACCGGCGTATTTAGACAAACTCCTTTATCTCCTTTTGGTCCAGATAAACCTGGGAGTCCTGGATTTCCACGATCTCCTCGATCACCCTAAAAATAAATCCAAATATCATTTTTTATCAAACATTTCTAACTTTTGGAAGCAAACTTTATTTTGGATAGCTTTGAAATTTGCATAATTTGAAACTAGACTAGAACAAGAAACGAGAAATGGATTTTTTTTTATGAAATAAAAGAAAAACTATCATAGAAAAGCTAGCTATCTTGCTAGATTTTTGCTTTTCCTTATTTACCTCAAGATTTGCCACACCTAAAGCTGTCACTAGTCACACTTAAAGCTCCCAATGATCAATTTCCCTTGAGTACTAAGAATTATCAAAGATATTAATAAATAAAATTATCTAAGATATTAATAAATAGCTTTTTAAAGCTATTTATTATAGTTTTAAGCACTTTGTTATCATTTGTAGTTTAGCAAAAGCCAACCTTTATTCCAGGAACTCCAGGCAATCCTCGTGGTCCATCCAATCCAATTGGACCCTGCAAAAATCGTAATAGCAACAGTGTGCTTATGAAAAAGCCGAAAAGAAAAACCGAAAAGTGCATACTAGGGAAAATAGTGTTGAACGATCACGAAAACATTGGTGCTTTTTGATTTATAAAAGCCAAAATGGTTGATAAGCTGATAAGCTGATAGGCAAAAGTTTTGAAGGAAAAGAGAGACATGCATTTTGGGCAAAAAAAAACCTACTGGAAATCCGGGATAACCACGTTGACCCTTTGAACCCTGAAATAATGCAATAACGGACATCAATTTTTTTTTCCAGAGTTTGTTTAATTTTGAAGAATTGCGCTGAAAAGGCGAAAAGCACGACAGAGTGACGACAGAGGAAAAGAGAGCTCAAACACATGCATTTTATTCTGTTTTATTGAATTTTAAGCTACAGTAGACTTCTCAATAAAATGTTTTCTAAAACGAGACAACTCTTGAAATATTTATCGTAATCCGTTACACTTTACTTTACAATAAGTAGTGCCAAGTCCGTAGAAATCCTATTTGCATTACTGTAAATGTCTCTCTTTCTTCTAATTCATGTACTTGATCTAATTCTAATTAATTCTTTAAAGATTTCTAAAGATACAAAAGTAGATTGGCAGCTTGAAAAGCTAGAGTCAAGATTACAAGCTTTTAAGAGTTGATACGATTTAGAAAACGGATCAGTTGAGTCAATGGCTCTAAGTCTGTTACTTGTTGACTTCTTTAAGCCAACTTATTGAACTAACAACAATTTAACTAAACATTCCAAAGCTGAACAACTTACGGGCGGTCCTGGCGGTCCGGGAAGCCCTCTCAATTGAATCGCTTGTCCATCCGGGGAATAGAGAAATCCAAAAGATCTCAACTTTCGCTTCATCGCTGGATCCAGACGCTGCAAAGAAATACGAAACGATAACGAAAAGAACTGAAGGAAAACTAGCTCTAACACTACTCAGAAGAACCAAAGTAAGACTACCACTACACACTGTATAAGAAGTTGGTTGAAGTTGCTGTTCGTGCTGCTTCTTCCGAGCATAGTATGGAGCTGGAAGTCCCGCAAGACCCTGGAAAATAGGAATCACCAAGCACAACATTTTCTAAGGAATTTCTAAGCTAAACTTTAAAAAAAAAATTCTGCACACACTTCCCAATCAAATGGATCCTTGCGGCCCTATTTTAACATGCTTTATTGAATATTTTCTGCTGAAAACTTACGGGTGGTCCCGGTGGTCCAACGTCGCCCTTTGGACCTGGAATTTGATCAATTTGCTTAACAATTTGCTCAACAATTTGCTTAACAATTTGCTCAACAATTTGCTTCAAATTTGCTTAACAATTTCACTAACAATTTGCTTAACAATTTGCTTAACAATTTACTTAACAATTTGCTTAACAATTTACTTAATAATTTGCTTAACAATTCGCTTAACAATTTCAACATTCAGTTGTATCTGGTTCAGTTTGATTAATTCAAGTCAAATAAGCCAACGTTTCTTGGTGTTGGTTTGAAAGGCAAATGACTTCTCGAGGCATTATAATCGTCAAAAATTGTGGTAGACTTTCACCTTCATTCGACACAAGTTTACCAATAAAAAAATCAATCTAACTTTTTGGGCTAAAACCTAAGCCCAGAACCCGAGTTGATAAGCTGATTGGAAAAAAAACTATCAACAAAAGAAATGATTTCTTTATTCAATAAATTAAAGTCACTTTTTTGTTGATGCTTTTCCTGACTTCTGGATCGTGGATTTTGACCAACCCATCCCTGATTCCCCAAGTGATATAAACTAGCCTCGTTATTTACGTACTCAGGTGTATGGAACAGAAGGAGAAAGGAAAACGGGTATCCTTTCTTTCTTTCTTTTCATGACAGATCCCCAATAAATCAAAGCGGCACCCAAATGAGCTTGTCGTTTGGACTTCTCTCTCTTTCCTTTCTTTCATTCAATTGTAAAGTCTCTTTGCTTTCAATCGAATCTCCGAATTGAGTCCAAGATTTTGTGTGACTAATTGTTTCTAGATCATAGAATAGAAAAAAATGTTTTTATCGAAAGAAATTGAGTAAAAGGATCAATGGACGTAGCGGTGATCGAACCAGAATTACCCGGTGGATCACTGGCAAGAGAAAGATCACTTATCCAATTGAACACAATGCCTAGTTAAGCTGATGGTTCTGTTATCTTGTATTAAGAAATAACTTTGATCTCACTTCTTTCAAAAGAGCTCAATCTTTCCAAAAATCAAGTCGATTTTGAAAGTGTAATCGTTCATGTTCACTCAAAATGATCACTCCATCAATTATTTGTCATAAAGCATGATTGATTGAAGGTTTAAAGTGTCTCGAAAGAGTTAAAAGAACAAGATCTCGTTTGTTTCTCTAGATAATCTTACAATAATATAGGAACAAGTAGACATGAGCGTTACAAACTAGACATGGGCAGATTCCGTCCCGAGCCTAATTCCACCTTCATTTTCTTAGCCGATCTTTTGACCTTTTGTTTATTTGAACTTTATAAATGTTTACTTTTTGAAATTTCTTTAATTACTTTTCAAAAACATAAAACATACCAAAAATTGGTAAACTGTTTTGTCTGTGAATCAACTATTGCATATTCTTTCTTTCTTTTCTTTCTTCCTTTCTTTCTTCCCCCCCTTCCCCTTTAACAATACATAACGATTATTTGTTCAAAATCCTCGACAATCTTCCCCTTTTCCATCCCTCAATGATCTCATTTGCATTTTATGATTTCATGCCTCTTCAAACCACCAAAAAGGTGTGAATTTTCTCTGTAGAGTCAAATCCTAGTTGAAATCCACTTAAAGGCTTTTTCCAACCTGAATATGACACAACTTTCTCTAGCCACGATCTAGTTGATCAGTTCTTTGAAAAGAGCTCTCATCAATGGGATGTGGCGGGGATCGAACCAGGATTGTACCGAGCAAGAGACCGTTCACTTATCCACTTGACCACAAAGGGGTTTTTCGGACGAACCTGGCGGGCAGACACAATTGTGGGCTCGATCATATCGGACAGCTCGTGGCTTTCTTGTGAAAGCTTCAGTGGTGTTCGATGGAGAATCCTGGAATATTATATGAGATTAAACAATAGTTTTGAAGGTTTTCAGTTTTTAAAGGATTTTTCTTTCATCCCTTAATTTCAGTTCTCAAATCCTCAAAAAAGAATCGCCAATTTGTAGAGAAAATGGGGAGCACTTTTTATTCGTCTTGTTCACCGTTCTTTTTTCTTTTCTTGAGGGAAAGGCCATTTATTCAAAGACAAAGATTTAATGAAGAAAAAGGAAATCGCTTAGTCAGCTGTCGACAATAGGAAAAAGAAGGAGAATTGCCGGCACTTTTGGTCACTCGCTCGCAAAAAAAAAGAAGAAACGGGATGAAATTATGGACTCTCCATGGGAATTTCTAATCAAAAAATAAACCGAACTGTGTTTTGGGTTTAGAAATAGAAGGAGATATCTCAAATCTCAAAAGGAGATAAGAGTTCGGAGCTTAACGAATCCTATGGATAGATAATTTACATCGCTAACAGCTAGACAAATACGAGGAAATCTAAAAGCAAGACTTAACAAGACAAGAAGATCTTAACTTTTGCACAAATCCAACTCCAGGCAATTTAAAACTGGTTAAGCTTTGCTTATGCTTTTCGAAAACAACAACCAGACCTTTTCCGATTCAGCCAGGTTAAGGTATGTCTAAATTTTGGCAGATTAAGGTACTGGATAGCTCAGTGGTTAGAGCAATTGCCCGGAAAGCAAAAGGTTTTACTTTCCAGAAATCTACTTTTTCTTGTGAACTTCTTTATTGCTACTGCTGCTTTTCCAAGAAATTCTATGCTTTAAATCCATGAATTCAGGTGTTATTCTCCGATAACGCCTACACAGAAATATAGAAGGCGGAAGGCGCCGGAAATCTTCCAGAAATCTTTCAGAAATCTTTCAGAAATCTACGCTTCCAGAAATCTAATTTTTCTTCAAGTGAAAGCGGGGAAAGTACAAAACTGTATGCTTTAGCCAACAATCCTTTTCCTTTTTTTTTTTAAAAAAGAATTTATGGGCATTTTCCATTCATCGTTTCATTGAATGTATTTTCCCGGAATTCATTGAAAACATTTTTCTTTTATCAATTTCCCACGCTTAGCCAATCAATAAAAACTAGTTTTATAGATAGAAATCACAAAAAAACATTAATTTCCTCGAATCTCATTGATTGTCCCTTGTCTTTTTCTTCCTTAAAGGTACCAATTTTGACAGCTGCATCTCAAAGCGTCTTTGTCATTTTTTGATTCGTTGAATATGGTTCTAACACCTGTTTTTTTTTTGAGGCAAATCTAAATGGAATAGTTATGCTGAGTTCAGCAAAAAAAATCAAGCAATTGGCTTTATTAACAAGACTTTTAAAGGTTTGCGAAAAGAATTTTCAGTGATTATGATTTTTTTGTCAATTGTTATTGTCAATTGTCAATTGTCAATCAATCTTTGAAAAAAAAAGATGAACAAAATTGTGATTGAATTAGTAAATGAGCTGGCTATTCTCCCTTATTTGCCCAATAAATGACCCCAAACACGACACTCAAGGAAAGAGGGATCCAGTTGAGTGCAAGGGAGAAATGAGATGTGCAACAAATACGCACAAAGATATTCAGCTCCCTTATTTCAGTTCCCTTAAAGTTGATTTACTTTAAAAATCAGAAAATATGGTACTACTGTTAGGCTAAGTGATTTAAATTTGCATTGATGCATTGATTTAAACTTTTTGCCCATTCGTAGACATTCGTTGAGTTGACAGAAGAAAAATGGTGTTAATAAAAGTCATAAGGCTGAGTTTTTTTATTTCAAAATCCTCATTTTCAGAGTTTTCTTGTTTCAAATAGCTTGGAAGAATGAAGAAATAGTTTTTCTTGTTTCAAATAGCAAATAGCTTTCAGAGCTTTTCCCTTCATAAAAAAAAGCTAATTTTTAAAACCCTTATACTTAAAAGTTATAGCATTTCCTATAGCATTACGTATTTGAGAACACCCTAATGTTATTAGAAGTTAAACAAAAACCCTCAAGCAGTTCAATCAACCCGGAACAGCTGAAGTAGTATGGTTGAGGTGGAAAGTGAAAGAAGAGAACTTTTCTTGAAAGAGAATGAGAAAAGAGATTCATTGTTTGTTGGGTCTCAGCTTGATATCACCTGCCCTCACTCTCATCCTTCACTTTTCCTAGATGAGAGATTGGGATTAGGCTTGAGTCCTACAAGAATCTTCATTAAATTTGGTTATAGAAAAGTAAAATTTGTTTTTTTAGATTTACCGATAAAAACATAGAGAAAATTAGTGTCAAAATTGAGATGACCCTAGAGATTTGTCTAGAGATTTGTCTAGGGGGGGGGGAGTATAGAGAGTCGGAGTTTGGCGACTCTTCTCTTCTCCTCCATATCTCGATTTCTAATTGTCAGATCGACTTCAGGTTGATTTTAAAATGTTCCTTATGAAATTTGGTTATAGAAAACCACAATTTACTTAGTACACTCTAGTGTAAAAACATAGAGAAAATTTTGGTCAAAGTTGAACTGTATAGGGTAACTAGTATACCCTACCAAAGTTTTGGGACTCTTTTAAAAGTTTCCCTTTTAAAAGTTCATAAGGTCAATATAAAACGATAAATTTGAGGCTTTTGGATTAAATCTAGTGCAAAATAGAAAATGAATTACGATAGAAAAAAATAACTGAAAGCTTTATTCAATTTATCTGTGCTCTGTGCTTTCTATGGAAACAACTAACAAATGAACAAGTCCTTATGAGATTCGGATTAGGTTTTTGCCCTTTTAAGATTACTAATATAAAACGATATAGATGAAAAGCGAAAGATTGAGCATCTAAAAAACTCACCAAACCAATGGAAACCTCATTTGACGAAGAATGAAGAAAATGTCGCTCTAGATGATCTATTCGAAGATGCAATAGCCCAAAGACAATTCCAATCAAAAGCAACAGAACAGCCGATGGAAGCACAACCGCCCAAACGGGTAATGTCAACTGTTTATGGAGAAACCATAAACGATTACTTGGTCTAAATTATGATCTCTTTTTTTTGTTAAGCAAATAATTTGAACCTATTCTTAGGCAACAATTTCCTTGTGGGTGAATTGAATGATTGTGATGATGGTGGAGATAAAGATGGGCTGGAAGAAGTCGAGGCACCATCCTCATTATCTGGAGGCCATCCGGTCACAACTGTGTGACCGTCACCTGAAAGGTTTTAGATTTGGGATATTTTGAGAGATTTTACCTGTAACTACCGTACAACGAGGCATAGTTGGTAGGCAACACGGTAGTCAATAAGGTAGCTCAAGTACCCATCAATTAAATAATTTTTGGAGTTAAATAGAAAAGTCGTTTCGGTTCCTAGGCTTTCTGAAAATATTTTGTCAAATTAGAGAAATAAAAACAGAGTTAACATCAAGTTTATTAAGTTGACAAAGTCAAAAATTATATTTGAACTGTATTTGGGTTAGTTAAAGTCAATTTTCAAATCAAATCATTTCAACTCGAAGCCAGATTGTCAATTTTGAGATCAAAATAGAATGTGATTTGATGAAATGGTTTTTAAAGTAGCTGTTAAACATTTGGAAACAAATTTGTAGAGAAAAGGAATTGAATTTGTAGAGATAAGGAACCCACCTTAAAGAGATAAGGAAGCAAATTTAGAGAGATAAGGAACCAAGTTTGTAGAGATAAGGAACCAAATTGGTAGAGAAAAGGAATTAAATTTGTAGGGAAAAGGAAACAAATTTGTAGGGAAAAGGAGTCAAATTTGTAGAGAAAAGGAATCAAATTTGTAGAGAATAGTGTTTATGAATTCACCTGAAAAACTCAATTCTACCTGGTTTCTATCATTTTTTGAACAACTTTGATAATATAAAATCAAAAAATGACAATGCTAAACCCTCATAAGCCAACTCTTCTCGAATACTAATCTCCTTTTAGTAAAGTGAGATATAGCTAGTTGAAAAGTAGAAGAAAAGAAAAGACGGAGAATTTGTAGAACTCTTCATATAGGGTATTCATGATGTGTGTGGAAGGGGATGCTTTGAAAACACAAATCTTTTCTCTTTTCTCTTTTTCTCTTCTTTAGGGTCATAGAGGTAAAGAGAAATAGACAGACAAATTTGGTGTCCCGATTTTATGCGTGATCACTCTTCAGAGGAGTGAGAAGAGAGAAAGATGGGTCCTCGAAAAAGAAAGTGAACAAAGGATGGGACATTCCGAGGGGAAACACCCCCTAAAAAGGTGAATAGAAAGAAGGACGGCTATTCCAGAATATCCAGAACATAGGTATACTTGCTCTCGTACTCGGCTAGGGTTCATCAAAATGTTCAAAAGTTCCAAGCCAGCTAGATTGATTTGGTCTCGAGAAAGTTAGGAAAAATCACCACAAAGATGTTAGGATTGTTAATAAACCGAGCTGTGGGTTTTGGGTTTAGAAATAGAATTCTCAAAAGTAGATAAGAGTTCGGAGCTTAACGAATGCAATACCAGTTTGCCAATCGCTATAACACAAAACAGAACCAATTTGAATGATAATAGTTAAGTATGTTATCAGAAAAGTCAGTACTCATTTGTTTTTGATTAGTTGTTTTTCGATCTATACCTACTTTCTCGATCAACTGACTCACTTTAATGCCTTCATAACTTTCCAAAGGCTAGAGATAAGATCAAATAGTTCGGAGAAATCTCAGAGCCTTCAAAAGAGAGACAAAAGATTGCGCAAGTCTTCAATTCTTCGAATGCAGACAAGCCATGACCAAATTACCCACTCACAAATCATCCATTCTTTGCCATTGTCAAGAGAAACTTTTTTCCGGTCACTAATAACTCATTGTGATGGATAAACATTAAAAGAGATCAAAGGAAATCAATTAGATAACGATTTTGTAACTGTTTCTAATTGTTTCTAAAGAATTTCTAAAGAATTGTGCTTGAAAATGAGCACTTTAAAGAAAGAAAATATTTAATAATAAAAGATTGCCTTCTTGCCAGCTTTTTAAGAGTGAAAAGCTTTTGGGGTAGGCAAAAGGGAATCTGAGAAGGGGCGGAGTCGGAAATGCTTAAAGCTGCTTAAAGAGTCGAGCTTCTCATTGATTGTAAATAAAAATAAGACAAATAAATAGCAATCAAATTAGCAGATAAATAGCAAATTAGTACATAAAAATAGAGAGAAAACTCAAAAAGTGGTGAGGCGTTAAAATTCGGTGAAGCATTCTTGATATTTCCTGTTTAAGAGAAAAGTAAAGGAAAAAGGAGAAAAGTCAATTGAGAAAAAGTTTTGCTTTTTTTAAACTTTTGCAATTGAGAAAGTTTTATTCTTGAATCTTGAATCTTTGAAAGATTTTTGAGTGATCAGAAAAAAGAAAAGGCTATAAATCGAGGGACAACCGGGATGCTGAGTTGAGGATTGGAGGGAAAGGTTTTTTTTGGGGGCAATGACCGGGTCGAGCAAATTACTTGGGAAAAGAAATGGGAAGAGAACCATATGTGATTTGAAAGGAAATGATGGGGGACACAATTCACTTGTAAGTGAGAAAAAAAAGGAGAACGATCATTGGAGCTTGGATTGACTGAAGTGGCCCACACAAGGTGTTCGGGAATTTTGGGCAGAACTAGTGTTTCTGCCAAAACAATTTCCTTTCCTGCCAAAGCTTTCTAAAACGTGGAAACGTTCAAAAGCTATCGTAATCTTGGCTCTAGTTTTATTCGATCTTTTTAGATTTCTGTGTGGTAAAGGATACTATATAAAAATTGATATCTAGATTGGATAAAACTTTCCTGACTTTACCAGCTCAGCAAAAATCTCAGAAACAAAACCTAGACAGGGATTGGAATAACTTTGAATAAGATTACGGTAGTTTAAAAGTTTATTTTTTAAAAAATAAAAGACTAATCGAGAGAAATGCCCTTAAACTTTAACCAATCTCTCAAAAGATCTGGAGGAAAATGAGGGATTGTGGAGATCCAATCAAAAAGATTGATCAGAAGAAAGAAAAGGGATTGGTCGGAAGGAGTGATATCTCTTTTCCTTCTCTTTTCTTTCTCTTTTCCTTTTCTCTTCGATTTCCCCGTCGATATCCTCAATGGTTAGGCAATGGTAGGGTCTCCTTCAAGGGGCACAAGGTCATCACTGATGTTTGTTTAGCTGCACCTCTCTTTTCCTCATCTCATTTCTTTCTCTAACAATATCCGGCTATTACCTTCAATCCAACTGATTGCATGTTGAGATTTGAGGAAAGTTCAAAGCAAAACGCGAAATTTTATAGGTTTCAAAGCTGGATATAATCAATTATCAGTCAACCAACCTTAAAGATTACTGTAAATCAGAGAAATAGAAATACGGTATTCTGTATCAATTTTTGAGAGTGATGAGAGTGAAGGATTTCCAGATTTTCTTATCATATAAAAAAATTGCAAATTTTATCTGTTTCAGAGCAAAACTAGATAGTCAAACTGAAAGGTTTTTTAATCAAATAGAAAATTTTCAGCTATATTTATCAAAAGAAAGCGATGATTTTGGAAAGGCTGGTTCACAATTACAATATCATCTTTACGGTAGCTTTGTAGTATTGTAGTTAATCTTTAAATATGCACAAATTAGTTGCCCGCAAAAGCGGTGTTGTTATGGTTGTAAAATGGTGACATTTATATCTTTGACCGGATGGAAAAAAAGACTTCTCGCTTCCCTCCAGATGTTCAACTCAAATCCGACATATTGCTCAATTTTCTTTGCGCATCTAGCGGTCAAAATGTAGAGAAGTCCCGTAATGCAGTCATCCTCAATTTATCAAAAGATGCACTTTAAAATCTATATTGTAAAATGAATTTCTCGAAAATCATCCCATAAATTTCGCTTCCCAGCCTTGAAATGATTGGTTCGCGTGCGCGGGTATTTTGTCTCTTTTGTGCGATTACACTAAAAAAAGAGGAATCACTTGCAATATTTTCCCAATCCTCAGCTGGAAGTCCGAGCTTTCAAAAAAAAGGAGTAAGTGAAGGTGAAACAAAATATTCGAAATTGAAATTCAAGGTGATGGGACTGAGAATAGTTCGTTTTCTAAAACGTGTCAACTTTAGAAAACTCAAAGCAAGCTTATAGTAGTTTCTAAAAATTGACATGCTCACAGGCTACTAACAATAGAGAAAGATGTTAAAAATGAATCCTCAAACGTTCGCCGATTTATTTGCTCGTTTGTAGGTGATGACCGGGAGATTTGGGAGGAAATTGAAAGAAGAACAAGGGTATCAAGAAGGGGAGAATGGGTAAATGACGTAACCATTAAAAGAAGAGAGAAATCTCTGATCCCTTGGGCCTACCTGAAGGGACACCCCTTTCCCTTCTTCGTCTATCCAAATCCATCTATGTCCCACCTGCTTGTATGTATGCTCTTTCTTTGCATGCAAATGAGCCACGATTAGGGCAACACCAAATTTTTCTATATACCTAGGTTAGCACACAAATTGAGCGGCCATGCGACCAAGATACGTCCGTGAAAGAATGGTTTCTATCGAGAAATCGTGTTCACAGTTGAAGTGGTGAACTAAAAAGCATGATTTACGAAGATGTAAGCTTGTGTGTACTAGCACTGAACTGAATAAATCATAATCGATGGTGGGAATACTCATTCGTCTTCCCTCTTTCAACCATCAATCTACATATTTCGTATTTTTTTGAAAGTATAAGAACAATTTATCTAATTGTAAGCAATAGCCTATGGCCACAAAATAATGAAAAACTAACCCGTATAAATGCTCGGTAACAATTAAAAATACTCTACTGAACAGTAAAACCTGATTCATTTCTCGGCCATGTTGTTCTTTTTTTCTGTTGGCCTCATTCTTCTCGACGAGCTCCATGTCAATTTCCCGCAATGGGACGGGTTTAGAAATGACATGGCCAATTTTCTGAGATGATCTCGAGCACCCTTTTTCGGCACAAGCGTATCGAACAACTCCCTAAAAATATTAATATGATTTACCAACAAAAGAAAACAAACATCTCGCCGAATCTGTGTCAAACGAATCCGTTTCCCTATTCGATACACCTGCTCCGTTGAATCATTCTAAAGAACTCAGTGAATGCTTTTGTTTAAAAACCTCAACACTAACCCTTACTCCTCTTTCAAGCAACGAATTCCACCGACATTCTTTAGCGTCGCTTTCATCAAGCTCCTTCACAAACGAGACGCCATCATCTGTCATCGCAGCCCCACAGGACCGAGCCCTAAACTTTGCGATTTTGTAAAGAAAAAGCACCCCATACCTGCGTCTTTGATAAGGCATTGCCAAAAAAAGGTGTCATGCTAAACTCAAAGTATCCAGTAGCAACCTGAATTTTTATTGCACACGACACAGCGACAATTTACCTGAGATTTCTTATTTCTCAAATTGTTCTTCTCGCAGGGTTTTTCCTCAATGATCAATATGTCATCTTCTTTTTGAAGAGCTTCAGGTACTAAAAAATGGGATTCAATACATAATACATAAGCCCTTACCAGTATTGGTAACATTTTCGGCCTCGACTGTTTCCTGCGGCAATCGTGGAGATCGTTGCTTCTTGAACTAAGGTGTTTGCTTGGCAATTTCACCATCTCTTGGCAAAGAATCAAAAATTAAATTATTTTTAAAGGTTTAAAGTATATTTAACTTCGCTGTTGCGGCTTATTCTGTACTGATGGCTTTTTGGGTCGAATTTTAGACTCATCTACAGTTTGCTTTCGTGCTCTAAAAAAATTGGTTAATTTAAGTAAAACAACAAATAAAACAATTTAAATAAAACAAATTTCCTTACCTATCAACTGGCGTACAAGTGACAAGTTTCTCAAGCGGATCAATTCTGATTTTCAGTTTTATTGGGTCTTTTTGTAGCGGCTCGATAAAAGAATCCTCGGATGCTGCAGGCAAATTTTTTTTTCTCTTGAACTTTACTGTTGGTATCATTTTCCTAGAAAACGCGTTTTTAGCATGCAAAATTAAAATGCAAAGGTACTTATCGATTACACTGGCCGCTTTTCAAATATACGAATAATGGACCTTTTTGAAGCGTTTGTAGTATTTTCATTTCTAATATAGTTTAAAGCATGCTCTCTCGATTAAAAACACTTTCTGACCGGGGGATCGTGCAAAGTTGAGGGGGGGGGGGGGCGATATTAGGAAGGGGTATACCGCACGGGTACCCCAACCCCTTAGAATTGCGCGGTTCCGCCATGGCAAAAAATAATCTTGGTAAAAAACATTTAAGTTTATCACTTTTTTGATACCGTTTGATAAAATTTGCATAAAAGCTGTCAGTGTAATCGATACATACCAATAAAAATTACCATTTCTTCTCCAAAGCAAACTCCTTCACCGTTCACGTTCTTGTAAATTCGATTGAGCTCTTTTTGTTTCCTCTTTCTTTCATCTGCCTTCATTGTAGCATATGTTTCCTAAAAATTATTACAGTTTATGTACATGCTAATTCTTCAATTTATCAGCTTTCAATTACGCATTATTCAAAAAAATGACAAACCGCAACAGGAATCTCGAAATAAAATGGTTGACCATCGGATGATTGACTCGATTCATCTTCACTTTTGTCACTTGAGCTACTCTAAAACGATCATAATTGCACCCATGAAAAAATACCGCGTGTTTTATAAGATCAACCCAAAAAAAATGAACAAAACTCAGCCTTACCGAAGTTGAATGCAGCTTCTTGCTAGTATTCCTTTTCAATGGTTTTCTGTTCGGCGGTTGTTCGTCATCCTAAAGCAAGAAACCGATTTACTTAATACAATGAACCAACGCTAGATGAAGAGCCATTTAATGCAGCAAACGATTTCCTCCTACTGCCCTCTTTTTCTTTCTTCTTCACCCATTGTTCCTAAAAATATTTCTCATTATTTTAAAAATTAGAAATCCTCCTAAATACCGTGCCAGTTTTTAGTAGCAAGTGAGAACCAACCGTAAGTAATTTAGCTTTTTTTATTTCCGTTTTTCGTTTTTTTTAAACGCTCTGCCGACGCCACCCCCAAAAATGAAAAGAATTTCATCGTGTACTTTTTAAAAAGTTAAAATTGCTAATCCACGCCCCTTTTTGCTTCGGCAGTCTATCGGAGGGCTTGCCGGAGGTGGTTAGCGTCCCAGATCGCCCTAAGGGATAGCTGAGTTCATTCCTGTTAACTCCAAACTTTTTTGCTTTCAATGTTTTCAAGCATGGAGCTGAAGTATGCAAATTTGAGTTGCCTCACGGTGAAGCAATTGTTACAGGGGTCTCGGAGGGGGCGCGCCGAGTGACCTTTAACCTGAGAGATCAAACTATGCGTCAGCCTCAAAACATTCAGCCAGAAAAACCCGCCGTTATGTAGGTTTCGGTTTCGGGTTTCGGCTGGTATCAAAAAATCAAAATAAAACCAATAAATACCGTAGACTTTGACAAAGAATCGCTGTTAACTCTTTCGTATGCTTCTTGCAGAGCCTTTGCGGTTGCCTGGGCTTTTCAGACCAAGCGGTTCTTTGTACGTGGTCAGGAGCTCATTCGCCTCAATCTTTCCATTGCTGTCGGGCTAAAATTCTGGCAAAATATTGAAATCTAGAAAAAGACTAACTATCCAAAAGTTAGCTTCAGGCTTCCATGTGTCTTCGTCTGGTCGATATCCAGCCCAACGCGTCTAAATATTGATTTTGAACAAGATGCAAATTGCTTTTTTTTTTACCCTGTAAACATATTTGCTACATTCTTCGCCTTTTTTGATTCGTGGGACGAAGCGCCCCATAATTTCGTCCGTAGCCGCGTGATGATTTTTGAGATACATCAGCTTTCGAAAGTACAAATCATCGAAACTAAATCAGATAATTAATGAATAATTTACATTTACTATTTAGCTTTATTGAAATTCAAGAATATTTCAGTTTATTGATGTTTAACCGTTTAATCAGAATCAAACCGTGCATGATCCACAATCTCCTCGACCGTATATTCTTGTTCGGAGATGAGTGTTCGGAGATGACGCTGGAATATAAAAATTAACTATTAACACCTTTAAAAACGCTAAAACTTACCCCAAGCTTTTTAACCTCAAAAGTTTGAAAATAGCATGGAAGCCTACGTGAAATTTATAGTTAAAATGATTTACCTTCATCCCTGTCGCCCATCATTCACCAATTATCCGGTTGTGTCACTCCGCCGGACGTCAACTAAAATAAAACTTGAAGATTATCAAATGTAAACAATTTAAAACATAAAGTAATCAAATGCGCTAAAATAGACACAAAAATTTAATAATTTGGTACTAATAAAGTTGGGAACACTTTTTTCTGGGGTAATCGAGGGCGCTGATCACGAAAATCGCATTTTTAACACAAGTTTGCGTATTAAAAGTTGACTTTTCCGACCCCGGAAATGTGAGTAGCTTTGGGGCATAAGAGCGGGACTTATCAAATTTAGTAGTGTTTAATTTAGTCATTCAAGTCTCTCCCACTTATGCCATGATGTACAGTGGTCTACAAAAGTAATGCCCCATTGCCATTCAAAAGTATTTTTGCAAAATTATACGGATAAATCTTATATTCTTGAAAAGTCGAGTCTTATGGGTCGGTAAAAATGCCCTACTCTTTTTCTGAAATGCCGATTTTGCAAGATTTCCTTACAAAACATACTGTTAGATGGCAATGGGGCATTACTTTTGTGGACCACTGTATAAAAGCTTAAAATAAAAAATAAAATCTTTCAAGCTTTTGAAAAACTAGCATTTTCCTAATAAAAACGCGGCATTCAAGTTTTTGGATGGAAATTTTCGGATTCTACACAAAAAGTTTCCCTAGAATCACGTAAAAATATTTTCATTTAAACCTCAAAATTTGAATGCGAAATGGCAAAAATACGTTGATTTTCGATTGTTTTTCTGGGGTTGTAAAAGGCAAGGCGAATGCGTTAAAGTAGCGAGCATCGTCGACGAGAAAAAGTAGTAAACAAAATAAAAATAAACAATCAGAGTTGTTAGGAAAATGTGTTGAAAAGCGTAAATTTGGCGCAAATGATACGCGACGGAAATAGTTTGGCGCTTTTGCTAGCACCTCACTTTATTAGGTAGTACCAAAATCTTTTACAAGTACTTAGGGAATTGGAAATGAAACATTCTTGAAAATCTAAATTCTTTGTAATTTGTAATTTTAAAATTTGCATGCTTTTATTGTTTGCATATCTAATACCTACCGTAAATACTGTAATAGTACCCCAGCCCCATAATGACGGTGCGGAGTGTTGCGTCGTCTAGCTTTGAACGAGTTTTTCTCGACACTGGTTTATGCTACAATGCCCACTTAAATATCAAAAAATAGCCCTGATTTTCAGCTATTTTTTTTATACCAAAGACGCATTTTTTGAAAGTACGGGCGCTTTGAAAAAAATGAAATACTAAAAAACTTTTGCGACTACGCGACTGTACGAGGGGGGTCGGGTACTATTACAGTATTTACGGTAGTAAATCCTACTTATTATAAGCGAGAGAGTATGTGTGTCTGTTCCGCTGTTTTAGAAAAAACGGCTCAACCAATCGATCTGAAAGTTTGACATTACAAACCTAACTTTTTACGTAGTTTCCAAAAATCTAATAATATTTGACACATAATTTGACCGTTTTTCCTAAAAAGCAAAATTAAAGAACACATGCTACCGTGTGGCCGAGTGGTAGTGCGTCCCGATGTCCGATCTGCCAAGTTGGGCAACGTTGGGCTCGGTTAGTCTCGGGTTCGATCCCGGTTCGATGCAATCTTTTTTTTTGCTTTCTTTGTCTTTACACTTTTTGAGTAAGAAAGGTCACGGGTTCGATTCCTCTAGGGATGAAGAAAATAAAATCCGTCTGCACGAAGCCAAGTATAAGCTGGTAAGTCTAAAATGCACGGCTTGCGCGATGTACGGCTATTCATTTTCTGTGAGAGAGAAAGAAGCGGCTATCTTTGTGTTTGCTTTTTTTGTGTTTGAGAGAGAAGGGGAAATGTATCCACCAAATAGAAAACAAATAAAAGTTCATTTTCACGATACAGTATCAAACTTTTAATCAAATAATCGAATCCAATTTTTCTGCAAAGATCTAGTCCGTTTGAACGTTACGCAATAGGAGTCATCAGCAAAAACAAGAGCGTGAAAGAAAAACGGGAGTGGGACAAATGCGACCTTTTTTTTTGCGCACCCGGACATTTGTGCACCTTTTTTCCGCACTTAGCCCATTAGCGCACCTTTTTTCCGCGTTTTAAAAAAGCTCTAAAAAGCTAATATTAACCAATTTCTATTCCAAAAGTTGTTTTTCTAGGTAATTTGAGGGTGTCGAATTCAAATTTTGACATAACAGAGCGTGTGGAACCAATTTGAAAGACAAAACGGCTAGATCAAATTACAGAAAATTGTCGATTTTTCTCTTTGTATAACTCCGTCCGTTTGTTTCCACAAGCTCTGATATGTCAAAATTTCGATTCTACGCCCTAAAATTATCTAGAAAAACAACTTTTGGAATAGAAATTGGTTAATATTAGCTTTTAGAGCTTTTTTAAAACGCGAAAAAAGGTGCGCTAATGGGCTAAGTGCGGAAAAAAAAGGTGCGCAAATGTCAAAAAAAGGTCGCATTTGTCCCACTCCCAGAAAAGCATGGTTAACGTTTTCTAAAACATGCGAAATTTCCAAACTACCGTAATCTTCATTACTTTTTCTCATAAGTATGGTTGTCCGATCACTTTTCGAATAGCTACTCCACCCAAAAATTTATTAGTAAATGTCAACAATTTGTTTTGGATTATCCGTTTGTTTAGCTGATTCAATCCAGTTGTGTCCAACTCTTTGTATATTTATCTGTGTTGAATGAGTGAATGGAATGGAAGAGGGAATGGAGAAGCTTCCAATGTGCAAAAGAATCATCTACATGTGGCTAGTATTGATTTTATGCTACATTTTTAATACAAATTTTTATTTCGCATACAAACTTTATGAATAACTGTATAGCAATGACTTTAGATGATTTTGTATCTTGGTTTGTAACATCAAAAACATCAAAAACTGCAAAGTAAACCTGGATTCAAAATTTTTTTTAATAGAATGACAGTTTTATTCTTTAGAGTATCACTAATCTTTGTATTTGTGTTGTATTCGTTCCAGAAGATGTTTTTTGATGCAAAAGCTGGCTTATACACTCTTATATGCATATTGATTTGAATGAATAGAAATAGAGAAGCGGCAAAAAAAGCAGAGATTGAAGGAAGAAGCAAGAAAAGAGCGGTCTGATAGCACTGTGGCATTGAAAGGAGAAAGGGCAGGGGATGGCCACAGATTGGCCGACCGTTCCTTCCCCATTCCCTTCTTTATTTAACCCTTTCAGCAAAACATACGCTTTCGCGCCAGATTTCTTTTCAAAAAATAATACTTTTTGAAAGCTATAATTTCTTAGACAAAGAAGGAGTTCATATCGAAAAAAAGCCACTTTTTATAAGCAGATTTTTGACAGTAAAATAAAAGTTTTTTAAAAACAATCCAAGTCTTGAAATTAACGATTGATGGTTTAATAACGATTTAATAACGATTGATGGTTCCATTGATGATTTCTATTTCTATTATTTCTATTCTATTGATGGCTTTTTTTTTGTTTTAATGGTTTTTTTTGCCTTTAATTTGAATTTTAACTAGTTCTACTTTAATATATAATTTTCTTTCCTTTTTTTCTTTTTAATAGAAATAATTTTATTTGTTTAACTCATACATTATTTGCTCATTTTTTTTTTGAATTCCAGATGCCTAAACAGAAATCCCAAGAGCTTCAACCATTGAGTAAAGATGGGAAACGAGTCAAGAATCGAGATGCTGATGATGAAAATGAGGGAGATGGAAGGGTTTGCAAAAAGCAATAGAAACGATTAATAATTGAAAAATTTCAGGGTTTGCAAAAAAGTTTAACGTTGTTCAATGGTGTGACGATCATCGTTGGATGCATTATCGGCTCTGGGATTTTCGTCTCACCGACCGGTGTACAAGAACGTGAGTTAAAATCTTAAAGAAAAAACATCTGTATCCTGTCAAGGTTCGTTTACACTTTTAAACATTCGACTTTTTGCTAATGCATCAATTTTTTTGTAATTTTTTAAAATGCCACTTTTGTAATGTGATTCAACATCTTGACAGCTTGCTAATCTTTTTTTAAATCTTATTTTCTCTTTTTCAATATTAGCAAAAATTACGAAAAATTCTCTATTTAAAGAGCTAAAAACATAAAAACATTTACTTGAGTGGGGAGTGGGACAAATGCTACCTTTTTTTTGCGCACCCGGACATTTGCGCACCTTTTTTTCCGCACCTTGCCCATTAGCGCACCTTTTTTCGCGTTTTCAAAAGCTCTAAAAGCTAATATTAACCAATTTCTATTCCAAAAGTTGTTTTTCTAGGTAATTTGAGGGTGTCGAATTCAAATTTTGACATAACAGAGCGTGTGGAACCAATTTGAAAGACAAAACGGCTAGATCAAATTACGGAAAATTTTGATTGATGATTTTTCTCTTTGTATAACTCCGTCCGTTTGTTTCCACAAGCTCTGATATGTCAAAATTTCGATTCTACGCCCTAAAATTACCTAGAAAAACAACTTTTGGAATAGAAATTGGTTAATATTAGCTTTTAGAGCTTTTGAAAACGCGAAAAAAGGTGCGCTAATGGGCAAGGTGCGGAAAAAAAGGTGCGCAAATGTCCGGGTGCGCAAAAAAAGAGGTCGCATTTGTCCCACTCTCAAAAAAGCACTTGTCCTTGTGCAAAAACCAAAACACATCCACTCATTGTCTGATTTGTTTTGACCATAAAATTTAATTGATTAATAGAATTTCAAATGCTACAGTAATCAAATAGCTTTCGATAACAAATTTCCGACTGAACTGTTCTCAATTCCTCTCATTCATTCTCTACCGTGCTATTCTCCCACTTGAGTGTTCACTTTCTTGTTTGAAAATTTGAATTCAAAAAACGAACACCATGATCACGTTATCACATTTTATTGATTTCCCAATAAAGTAAGGGTCAATTGATAAAGAATTTCATTTATTATAAAATAAATAAAATACATGAGATTCTTTTAAATACCCGTTTAATTTAAATTTCGATAAATTATTCACGAAGAAGATTTTCGAGAAAAGAATCACTCGTCGAGTTTGGAGAGAGATTCGATTTTGCTGTAATTGTTTAGTTCTAGAAAATCTCGTAATTTGACCTTTACCTTCAAGATATCTTCTGACTCCATCTTGTATTCGAAATTTTCGATGATCAAGAGAAATCACATTCACAATTACATCATAAATCTCTTCTCTTGCTCTCAAACCCCATAAGAAATCATTGTGATTGAAATCGGAAAGTTTTCTGGAAACAACACGCATTCAGAACTAAGATTTCCCTCAAAAAGCTATAGTAATCCTACAGTAGATCTTCATAACTTAATCTTTCTAGAAATTTTGATCTTTAGAGATCTTTATAGAACTTTATTATAGAAATTTAGAGATCTTTAGAGATCTTTATAGATCTTTATAGAACTTTAGAGATCTTTAGAGAACTTTAGAGATCTTTAGAGAACTTTATAGATCTTTATAGCTCTTTATAGATCTTTATAGATTTTTATAGAACTTGTTTTTCTTATTTTAGCTGTTACTTAATGTTACAGTAATCCTTCTTGGGTTATTGTAGCGGTTTATTGTACTGTAGTCGAGTTTATGTAGCTGGATAGATTAAAAATCTTACGGTAGCCTTTAAAGTCACTTTTAAACAAACGAATCATACTATTAAGAACTTACTTTGACAATTTGATATATTTCTGATCAATCATTTTCAATATAAATCCTTCGACTCCATTGCTTGTCGCTAACCAATCCGCATCCGAATAAAACAAATAAAGAGGCACCTCAACTTGTGAGAGATCGAATTCGGGTGGATGTGTCTAAACAATAACAATTTGAAAGTCTAAAAGAGTACCCAACTCTTCCATAAAGCTTCATACTATGATCTGCTCCATAATCAAATGGTCGCATCTTTCCCGATTTAACCATTTGCGCGTAATGAATGATATTTTTCCAAGAGGTACCCGCCGGATTATGTGCCAAATAGATTCCTATCCGGGTTTTGTTTAGTTGATTGCTGTCCGGTCCTGATACCTAAACTCTTTAAACTCAAAGCCAAAGCTCCAATCTGTTACCTGATAAATAAAATCCTCACAGAGTGGATTTTTCATCTTTCTATCACAAAGAACATCAGTGAGTAAACGAGTGAAAATATTGTTTGGTAGAAACTCTTTGTCTCCAATCATTTCATAAAACAGCTAAAGTTTTCGAGTTTCTATTGGGTTGACGGATAAGTTTTTAGACAAAAATCTTTTTCTAAATCTCTTTAGAAGTGAAAAGTTCAACAATTAACCTCCGTTTTAACCTAAATAGATGTTTATTAGACACTTTTCTATCTTTTTCTATTTCTATCTGCGCTTTTTTCTAAGAAAATCCGAGCGGAAAAATCCGTTTTGCGTAAAATTCGATACAAAAGCTCTAGAAAGATATTAGCTGAACAGATTTGCTGAAAATTTGGCTATATGCCTAACTTTTTGCGTTCTTTCTTTTATTGATAATAAGATAGGTTTTTTAGAAGAAAGTGTTTAAATAGCATAATCGGGTCGTTTTTTTTCGGATCCCTTTTTGACTGCCCGAGTTCGCACTCCAGAAAAAAAAAGGCCAGAAACAAAACATTTCTTAAGATTTCAACGATCTTTTATAGAAATATAGGAGACATTTGTAATGAAGCAAACCGTAGATCAATAGGTCAATTAGTTACCGTATTTTCTTTAATAGTAGTGCACCCTGAGCGTCGCCTAAATTGCTCGAAATCTCGAGAACCGCTTATCAGAACCTATCGATTTGGGGTCGGAAAATGTAGCTGACGATGAGATCTAGTGGGGGATTTGAGTGTTGAGCTTCTGCAAAAACTTGGAAACCGTAAAATAGTCATCAGCTCGGCTCGCCGGGGTGCACAACTATTAGAGAAAATATGGTATTTCTAAATCGCTTTTTAAATGGTAGCTAAAGATATATCGACTAAACTAATATTTCTCTAAAATATATCAAACCTTAAACTGTGGATATGTTTCTCCTAAAGTGTGAAACATTCCCTTCACATTCACCAATCGAGCCACCGGAGCGAGCGCGAAGAATTTCCGGATTTTCCCCGCGAATCCCCGACTCAACACGAGTTTTGCGAACATTGTGAGAGTGCCTTGAGAATGACCGATGAAATAAAGCTGTAATTTTTTTTTGATTTTCAATTTCTTTCATCTCTTTAACCTGTTTTTGTTTTGTGACATTGAGAATTCCATCGACCATCGCCTCCAAATCATAACGAGCCATCTCTTCCCAAGAGAATCTATTGGGTTGTCCAGTTATGAATGCACGTTTTTACTATTGTCTTGAATTCAGGTTTAGGATAAGCTATAAAACGTCAAAATTGGACAAATTTAAGGTACTCTCCCAAGAAATCGGAAAGGACTTTTCCATCAACCCAATATTTGGTAAATTTCTGAAGATATCGGACAGATGTATAAGAGTGTTATATATCATTCAAAAGCTGAAGATCTCCTCTACATTTTGGAATAAAAAGTTTTTGAATTCATTCAACTTTTTGGGAAATTGACTGCACAAAGGGAGAGGTCGTTTTCCAAAAAAAAACCCCATTCCAGCTTAGCTATTCCTCAAGCTTTATGGTGTAAAATAACCGCCCAGAAAAGAAAAGAAAAGTAAAGATACTCTGAAATTGTTATATTATAAAAAAAGTTGTATTGATATATCTATTGGCCAAACATCAAACGGTTAACTCAATTTGAGCGGAGCCAAAACTTGATCCAAAGGCACCCTTCCATTTTTTGGCCACCTCTTCTTCTGTGCAGTCAATTTGCCCAAAAGCTGAACAAAGTCAAAAACTTTTTATATCAAAATGTAGAGGAGATCTTCAGCTTTCGAATAATACTCATATGTATATATCTTTTTCTTGATTTCGGTATCTTGAGAAATTTACAAAATAGTAAAAAACGCGCATGCATAACTGGACAACCCAATATATTAATATCAAATCATTTCCTTTCTGTTATTAGTGTAGAATAGAGCACCTCCAATATTTTGCATCTCCATGATCCATCCGAAGGTGTGACTTTGAATAGGTGTTCCCTCGCATATTCCCCAACCAAACGTCGAAGCCTGCATCAGCGAAAACGAAGCCTAAATTTTAACCATTAGAAAACTAGGAGTGATTAGGATTAGATAAAAAAGAAATTTACAATAAAAGGCAATGAAAATTGCGAAATTTTAGAAATACACTCTAATCACATACCTGCGCTTTGACTCGGCAAATTCAGTAACCAAATCGAGCTTGTGCATAAAAGGCCATGTTGTAAGAAGACAACTGGTCTCAATTTTTTACTTCTAGTTTCTAAATCCTTCGATTACTAAACCATCTTTTTTTTTTTGCATTTAACCATTTCTTCCATATGGAATTCGATGTAGAGTGAGAATATATCCATCTTTTGTCACAACATTGTACTCCTCGACTGGGTAACCCCAATGGGTGACGATTTCGGGCTGAAAAAGTTTTTTATAACAAGAAACAGAGCTCAGCTCATCAAATGAAATGAGCCATACTATCCGACGCAGAATTTTTTGCCCTTCCGAATCTCTGATTCGTTTTTGCAAAATGTTTCTGAATAGCTTTTGGCCTTTCTTTATAAGGCTTAAACGCGCGCTGCGTTTAGATGGTTGCCTGGTGTAGTCGGTAGTAGGTTATGACCCGGACTAGCTACTCCAGTTCAAATCCGCTCAAATCCGCTCACTTCTTTCTTGTTATTTCTTTTTAATACTTTTTATGATGTCTGTCATAGTCTCAAGTCTTTCCTATCACAAATTTATCACATAATAACTATAACATAATATAACAAGTAATGAATCCATTCACCCAAATCTTCCACTTTCCAAAAAAGAAAGAGGTGAGCGGATTCGAAACCTCGAGTAGATACTCCGTATCTTAACTTATTACCTAGTACGCCACGCAGCCATTTTCATGTAGTGCGCTCGTAAGAATAAAGAATAAGATAAAGAATAAGATAAAGAATAAGATAAAGAATAAGATAAAGAATAAGATAAAGATAAAAAATAAAAAAAGGCCTTATAAAGAAAGGCCAAAAATTTGTTTACCAAATTGCAAGCGATTCAGAATAAATTTGCAAAAACGAATCAGATATTCGGAAGCGTAAAATTCTGCGTCGAATGATCTATGACTCATTTCATTTTGTGAGCTGATTCTGTTGACCGTCTAAGTAAGAGTTGATTGAAATCTTTATTTGTCTATTCAAATCATTCTAACTAAGAATTTTTAGTAAAATAACTAATCTAACAAGGAAAATCTATTTTTTTTTTTGCTTTATTTCAAAAAGCACACAAAATAGAACAAAAGTTAAACTTGAGATCATAAAAAAAAAAAGGTTTATGAGAAAATATGTACATAAGTTTTATGTTTAGCGGTTGATTCGCTATAAAATACATAGCTTAAAACCAACCACGGACATCAAGGCTTCGGGATCAAGAGTGATATTTACTGGGGGTAGCAGCTTCATCGAGTTAGCGCTTAACGGTGGAAATGTGAAATTAGATGTTGGTAGAGTTGGGAAAGGTTTTGGAGTTGGGAAGGTGGGAAGGGGAGGGAATGTTGGAAAGGAGATTGGAGCTTGAATTCGAGAGATTCCTGGGGGATAGCCATGCTTCGACATTGACATCATCATTGATATTGGTGGTGGAGTTGGGAAGATTGGAGAAAAATCTGAAAGCATCTACTTTACCAAGCCAATAAAATGACGTCAAAATAACGAAAAATAGGGGATACTTTTGACTATTTTGCACGCTATTTTGCATATTGGAAGAAGAGGAATTGGCAGGAAATATAAGTTATATAAAACTTAAAATTTGATTTTAACAATCTTTTTCTACCAACGAAATTGGACATTGGTTTTTTAAATCCAATACTTGGCTTTTTAAATACAAATTGGTGCGACGTGCAAAATCCAGTCAAACTTCGATACAATGAACTTGAAATTCTAAAAACTGCCCAAAATCTCTGCGTAGCTGCCCTAGCCAAATACAATCAATGGTCATCCAGCGTAGCGTCCATTTGGGACACGTTTTAGGTTTGTTATATCAAAGCTTTTGGTCCTGAGCGATTCGTTATATCAAAGTTTGACTGTAGTCAAAAGCCTCGTAAAAAGTATGCTTTTAAACTTACTTAATAAACTCATTTAGTGAGAGGATTTTTAAATGTAAATTTCGCATCAAAAGCCTTGTAAAAAGTATGCTTACTGCTTACTTTTAAACTTACTTAACAAACTCATTTTGGGCGTTGTCGGTGGGATGAAAGGAAGACTGGCCAGAGTGGGCGCATTCTTCGGAAGAAACTCCTGAACAGGAGTTAATAAGAAAATGATAATTGTATCTAATTACTCAAAAGTGATAAAGCTTATCAAACCTTGAACCAATCTGCTGTTTTCTCGAAAATCGTGTTGAGGTCATTTTGCGCGTCGATGAGGCAAAGAACGATTGAGAAGAATAAGAACTGAGTGAGCTGAGGACATTTCATTCAATTATTGATTCTAAATGAAGGAAATTGAAATTGAAATGGAAATTGAAATGAAAAATGGAAATGATAAAGAAAAGAGAAAGAGAAAAAGAAAAGTGGTTATGTAAAGAAACTTTTAGCAGGAATGTTGTTTCAAATTCACAAATTGGTAAATGAAAGAGCTTTCACGTAAACACTCGCATTTAAGGGATGAGACGGTGGGAACTAGATTTAGGGGAAAGATCGGGTGGATTTAGTGGAAGTGAACAGGAATGGCGGTGGGTTGGGGAGGGATGTTGATCGCTTCCCCTCTCTTCTCCCCTCCACTCTCTTTTTATCTCCCCATCTCCCCCAAAAGTTGGACGAGTTGACCTGATTTTTTTTTCTCTTTCTTTCCCAATCTCTCCATAATCCAGTCCTTCATTTTTTTGTTTTCTGACAAATCTGACAATGAAGTTGAGTTTTGAAATTTGAAAGTTGAAAGACGTGAGTGGTGAGTGAAAGACGGGAGTGAAGGAGTGAAAGACGGGAGTAGAAAGACGAGAAAGACGAGAAAAGTGCAAACAACATCAAAAACATCAAAAACAATATCAAAATTGCAAAATTGCAAATGAAAATAGATTTTTTCAAGTCTAAAAAGTACAGTCAAGTCAAAGAAAATCAAAAAATCAAAGAGAAATTTGCAAAAGATGAGGCAATTATTTTTTTTGTCAACGATGAGACAAAATCGGAGAGACAAAATAACAAAAACAAAACCGGAAACTGATGAAATTTGAAATTTGGGGATTTACAAAAAAGAATAGAATAAAAATAGAACAAAAATAAAGTTGCTAAAAAATAAAAGTTTAAAAACTAGATAGGAACTATAAAGGAACTAAATAGAACCTAAATAGGAACTAGATAGGAACTATACAGTAACCAATAGGAACTATAAAGGGAACCATTTAGGAACTAAATAGGAACTAAATAGGAACTATACAGCAAGCAAATAAGGAACTAGATAGGAACTATAAAGGGAACTATTTAGGAACTATTTAGGAACTAAATAGGAATTATACAAGTAACCAAATAAGAACTATAAAGGAACTATATATCTACAATGTTACAATTACAATAATCTACAATTTTTCTTTTCAGAAGCCGGCTCTGTAGGCATGTCACTTTTGGTGTGCTTGTTTCGGGATTTTCACTGCCAATTGGAGCCTACTGTTATGCTGAATTGGGAACATTGATCAAAGTGAAAATTGTTTTGATAGAAAAATCGAAATCTATTTCTAAACTCAGAAATCCGGTGGTGATTATGCTTATATCATGGAAGCATTCGGTCCATTCCTTGCATTTCTCCGTTTATGGATTGAGGCGATTGTGGTAGGTGAGAGGATTGGGAAAACTTGATGAAATATCAAATTAAAAACTTTTATGGTCATTTTAGACCTTGCACAGTGACAATTGTTGCGTTGACCTTTGCAATCTACAGCCTTCGACCATTTTATCCAAATTGTCCTCCACCAGAATGGGCACCGGAATTGCTGGCTGTTTGTCTCATTGGTAATAGAGAAGCGGCAAGAAAAATTAGATTTCTCGAGAGGGGATTGAAGCCTCGACTTTTTGCTTTCCGTTAAGCTCTAACCATTTTCGAAAATTGCTCTAACCATTGGTCTAACCATTGCTCCAATCATTGCTCTAACCATTGCTCTAACCATTGCTCTAACCATTGCTCCAATCATTGGTCTAACCATTGGTCTAACCATTGGTCTAACCATTGCTCCAATCATTGCTCCAATCATTGCTCTAACCATTGCTCTAACCATTGCTCTAACCATTGCTCCAATCATTGTTCTAAACCATTGGTCTAACCATTGGTCTAACCATTGCTCCAATCATTGCTCCAATCATTGCTCTAACCATTGCTCTAACCATTGCTCTAACCATTGCTCCAATCATTGGTCTAACCATTGCTCCAATCATTGCTCTAACCACTGAACTAGCTGGTACCTTAACTCTTCAAGAGAAAGAGGGATAGACAAGGGAGAAGAAGAGGAAGAAGAAGAAGAAGAAAGAAAGAAAGAAAGAAAGAAAGTTCAGATAATAGAGCTACTAGCAAATAAAGCATTTACTAAAACATTAGAAACTTTCCCGACTATCGTAAGCCTCCTGAATTTTTATCCCAATATTCTTTTAAAGTCTTTCAGTATTCTTTTTAAACCCACAGAATCAGACAAAAAAGTAGATAGATTAGTTAAACATTAGAGACAAGTTTACGACAAGATTACGGTAGCTTTTGAAGGACCGAAAGACAATATTTTCAGTTTTGATGACAGCAATCAACTGTATTTCTATTCGAGCTGCCACTTTTGTTCAAGACTTTTTCACTGTTGCTAAAGTGAGTTTATAATAGACAGAAAAATTCCAATCGAAACCTAATTCCACTTTCGTTTTCTCATTTTTCTGAAATTTTGTTTACATTCTTATAGAAATCTCTGCTTGCAGAGAAAAAAATTTCATATCCAATCGGCAAAGAAACTCAGAAAATGAAGGTCGAATTGAATTGGTTGGTGAATTTGAAAACTGCGGGACTTTGAACTAAAATTTATTCAAAATAAAACCATAAATTCATTCCAAATAATCTCCATTATTATTGACGACTTCTGCTCATTTTACAGGCAATTTGCGGATTCCTCTTTCGTAGTAGGATTTTGGTTTTGAATCGAAAAACTTTCAACGCCAATTTTTGACTGCTTCTTCCGAATCGAAGTGCTCTCCCGCAAGCTCATTACTCATGATCCGGAATAAATAGTAATCAGAAGGGGCAAGGTCCGGGCTGTATGGGGAATGCGCCAAAAGTTCTCAAACAAGGCTATTTATTTTAGAGCGAGTCAGTGTGAGACTCAAAAATGGGGGGACTGGAGATGTCCCCAGTTTGATCATTTTCTTTCAAAAGAAACCCATTTTGGTGTCAATAGAAAAGTTGTAGAGAATCAAAAATGAGGCTTATAGCCAAATTCCCAAAAAGATACACTTAGTAGTTTCACTTAAAATTCAATTTTTGTAGAAACCCACCCATGTGACGCTCCTTGGAAACCAGTTTTTGAACCGTTCTGGAAATTTGGATATAAGCTTGATTTTTGATTCTCTACAATTTTTCCATTGACTCAAAATGGGTTTTTTTTGAAAAAGTGCTCAAACTGTCACATATGACAATAGGCGGCAGTTTTCAATTCACCAACCCAATAGATTCGGATTCGAATTTTGATTGGAATCTCATATCTAATTTAATACACTGTCATTTAATTAATTAATGAATATTTTAGGTTTTTGCTCTTATTATGATTATTGGTGCTGGTGGGATTCTTCTTTGCTTAGGTAAAATATAAAACTTTCGAATTTCATCAAACAATTTATAGGAAAACCCCAGTACTATGCTTCTTTGGAAAATCTTTCCGAGGGAACTTCTCAAAGGTGATTTCTATTTAAATAAAATTATAATTTTTCAGGATTTCACAACAATTTCTCTTGCTTTTACGCTGGCCTTTTCGCCTTTTCTGGATGGAATTTTCTCAATTTTATTGTTGAAGAGTTGCAAAATCCGAAAAGGTTTTTTGAAAATACCGTATTCTCTCTAATAGTAGTGCACCCTGAGCGTCGCTTAAATTCCTCGAAATCTCGAAAACCGCTTATCAGAACCTATCGATGTGGGGTCGAAAAATGTAGTTGACGATGAGATCTAGTGGAGGATAAGAGTGTTGAGCTTCTGCAAAAGCTTGGAAACCGTAAAATAGTCATCAACTCGGCTCGCCGGGGTGCCCAACTATTAGAGTGAACCGTGGAAGTTGGTTTAAAAGGCATAGACATAGACATAGAAATAGACCATAGTAGACCCCTTGCTCTAGCAAATTTTCTATTTAACGAACTATTTTTACGGAACTTAAACAATTTGTTGAATCGATTCAATTCAACAAATCGACTCTAGTTGTTATTTCAGGATATTCAGTATGAGATCTACAGTATGAATAAGATTATACTCGATTGCCGTATTCTCTCTAATAGTAGTGCACCCTGAGCGTCAGATAACGTCTAAAGAATCCACTAGCGCTTCAAGATCAAGATCATCTACAAATAGTTGAAAGGTTTCGAGACTATTGGACTCTCTTAAAACTCTGAAACTCTGGGGGAGTCGATTTCAAATTCTGGCATTTCTTATTGGAAAAGAGTTATACACAAACTTATTGGAGGTGAGGGAATTTCTAAAACGAAAGAAGCGTATAGTTGAAAATATTTATTTCAATATCAAATCCAGAAGTCTTTTCTTTTCTGTTATCTGTCACTGATATTCAAATATGTTATTGATTTTAAGGATTATCCATGAAGCAGAGTAGAAAAGTGGAGAAAAACGTGGAGAGATTTTGAAATTTTTGTGACGAATTTTTAATAGTTTACTTTTAAACGAACAAATCCTTTCTCTAATACCCGTATTTTCTCTAATAGTAGTGCACCCTGAGCTTCGCCTAAATTCCTCGAAATCTCGAGAACCGCTTATCAGAACCTATCGATGTGGGGTCGGAAAATGTAGCTGATGACGAGCGAGATTCAGTGGAGGACAAGAGTGTTGAGCTTCTGCAAAAGCTTGGAAACCAGTAAAATAGTCACCAACTCGGCTCGCCGGGGTGCACTACTATTAGAGAAAATACGGTATTAGATTGGCAACTTGAAAGTTGGTACACTTTTTTGTATTTTCCATAAAAACATATTTAATAGACCAATTGAACAATTGAATTAGATTTTGCTAAATAAAAGTTGTATATTATCTAATTTCAGAAAACCCTAAGCAAATTTGTGCAACTTTTGAAACGAATTATTAGAAATTCAAGTTTTTCTGAAAATTCTTCAAACAAATATATAACTAAAGCTTTAAGACAAATCGAACTGAGAATTCGGCTGTACGCCTAACTTTTCATGCTCTATCTTTTTCTATTAACATTAAAATAGGTTTATGTGGAAGAAAGTGTTCTAAATCTAAGTCGTATCGAGTAGTTCATCATTTTTGGTTCCTCAACTTCGTTCCCCCTGAAATCTACAGAAATCAAGCTTTTCTAAATCTGTTAAAAGCCTGTTTTAGAGAATAAATTAACCTTTTTATTGGTAAAAATTGTAGATTAATTAGTGCATTAGTTATTTCTAAAAAGTCCAATAAATAAATGTACCAACTTCCAAGTTGCCAATCTAATAAATATCGATTCAGATAAAGGCTTACTATTAGGATAGTTTTTATTTAAATTTCAAAATCTTTCAGAAATCTCCCACTAGGCCAACCACCTCTCAATCTCTTCATGCACAATTATTTACTTTTTAACGAATGTCGCTCTGTACACTACGATTTCTCCTGATGAATCTGGAATTCTTCTCAGTTGCTGTTATGGTGGGAATGGAATTTAAATGACCTAACTTTCAACTTCTGGAAGAACTCAAAGCTTTATCAATAAGTGAAGCAGGATTCAATATTTGTGGAACCTTTTAAGCTCGCAGATTCGTTCCATTTCGATCTATGATTGTTTCGAGCTCTTGGGCTCGCAGTTTCGCAGATCACCTTAAAATTGGTTTATGAAAAAACAGTCAAGAAAGCATTGGATACGAGTTTAAATAAATTCGACTTTCTAGATTATATTTACGGTTTAATGTTTAATACTCTAAAATCAATTTATCGGAACTTGATCACCAAATTTGGACCAAAAGGAAGAGCAAGTTAGTTGTTTTTGTTTCTTCTCGTTTCAATTGTCCAAACAGTTGTTCTTGTGTACACAATGAGAAAGTCTTCACTATTTAACAGCTTTTGAATCTACGAGACATTAGAAATGTTAGAATCACATTTCAGTTTTGATTCTTCTAAGAAAGCTTAACAAGAACAAGAACAAGAACAAGAACAACAAGAACAACAAGAACAACAAGAACAACAAGAACAAGAACAAGAACAACAAGAACAACAAGAACACAGAAAGCAAGAACAAGAAACAAGAACAGAAAGAACAGAAACAAATCAAGAACAACAAGAACAACAAGAACAACAAGAACAACAAGAACAAGAACAAGAACAAGAACAACAAGAACAACAAGAACAACAAGAACAACAAGAACAAGAACAAGAACAAGAACAACAAGAAATAGTAAGAACAACAAGAATAAACAAAGGAACAACAAAGGAACAACAAGAACAAGAACAAGAACAAGAACAAGAACAACAAGAACAACAAGAACAACAAGAACAACAAGAACAAGAACAAGAACAAGAACAACAAGAACAACAAGAACAACAAGAACAAGACCAACAAAAAATTAATTCGATCTCCGTGCCGCAGCTCTTTCCACAGTTGTTTTTGGTAGGCAAACAACAGCAAAGAAAGTAAATTAAAATTGCTAACGTTGGGCATAATGATATGTTTTTTGTTTTTAGCATTATACTTTTACAAAATTAAGTTCTAAATCTAGTAATCTATCCATAGATCTTGAACGCCTTGTAGAAATGAAAATGACTGAACTTATGACAATGTTAGAAATAGAAGTAGGAATAGTAATAGAAATCCAACAACATTCTTTCATATTCCGGAGAAAAATAGGACTCCAAATCTTTTAACTTCAAAAACTTCATTTTCCAGCTTTATGCTAATTGAAACTATTCGGGCCCCTTCTCTTTCAGGGGCTCTTTTGTTGCTTGTTTTCGAATGACGATCAGCTAATGGAGTAATTTACACTTCGACCTAGGTAATTTGGAGTGACATAACTGGCAAGAGAGTTTGAATTGGTAGAAAAGCATATGAAAATGTTGAGCCGAATTTTTTTAGATTATTCTACGTGGGCGCGCGCCGGGCCAAATGCCCCAAGTGTTCACGATGATCAACAAAGATACCAGGACTCCGAATCCCGGCTGTTGTGCTCACTGTAATATCACTTCACTCATCCAGTATCTTCTTCAAATTCGGAGTCCTTCTATCGCTTGCCCATCTCGTTTTATCAAAGGATGTCTATGCTCTCATCAATTACATTCAAATCAGTTATTGGCTAGCCATCACTGCCCAATGGCCGCGACTTTTCTACTTCAGAAAATTGATGCCCGATGCGCCAAACCCACCAAAGTGACGTTTAACAATTACAGTCTCTCTAATTATAAGTTTTTGAGGGTTAATCTCAACTGGCCATCAATTTGATCTTTGTGTGTTGCTTGGCTTTTGGTGGTTATTCCAATCATGGCAGCCCCTTATGGCTACCCGGGTAAGAAAATACCGGTGTCTGTCTGTCTGTCTGTCTGTCCGTCTGTCCGTTCGTCCGTCTATACGCGTGAGTTTTCGGTTCCCCGTAAGGGCAGATTTACATGTTTTTCGAAGTTTATTAGGCTTAAAGATAAAGAAAGAAAAAGAGAGGGGGATCCTTTATCACCGAAGAGACGCGAGACGACGCGACAGTGTGCACTTTTCGTGTGTCTCGTAGGAAAAAGCGGCTATCGCCACGACCTCTGCGCATAGGGCGACAGAGATCTCCAACTGGTTTAATTACCCAGGTTTGAGGTTAGCATTCCAACCCCAAGACCTTGTAAAAGTGTCTTGAAAAAATTTGGAACGTCTCCCCAGTAAAGGGGATGCACAAAGGGAATGCGAAAGTTGAAAGTGAAATGGAGAAGCTTTCGTGCTGTTCGTTTCACTTTGTCATCAAGTCAGTTCAGATTCATTTTTAATCATTTACGCGAAATCTGTGGCAACGATGGATATGCGATCCAATAGTGAAAGAGTAAAGAGAAAGCTCTATGTATTTGTGCATCTCATATTTCGTTTGTTAAAAACCAAATGTCATGACGCCGCCGGGAGTCGACCTCGATCGTGTAGCCCGGAGTCACAGCTGTGCTTTGCTCGGCAGCACTGAAGAATGCTTCGGACCCACCTAGCCCAACGATACGAGCATATATAAGGGGGTAGCGGTCTGTCCGCAGATGTAGACCGTAGATCCAAACTGCGCCTACTACTGGGTCGCGGCGACAAACTCTGCGATCAGCAAAACTCGCTGTTAGGCGGGTTTTTGTAGTTAAATAGTAAAATAAGCGCTAGACTTGAGCTGTAGCTTATAGTAAACTAAATCCCAATTTAGTTGAAATTTCAGTAATCGGATTGGGCATCATGTTGACGGGGTGCCCGTCTATTTCGTCTTTATCGCCCGGGAGAACAAGCCGAAATTTGCTGAAGTTCTCTTAGGTGGTATTACATTCTCATTATTCCAGACCGGTCTTAGTCAAAATCTAAAATTGCCAAGCCAGGCTGGCAAGCTAAAAAATCGTTAGAAGAAGAATAGAACAAGTTAGATTAGAAAAAAAAGATCCGGATTGCTCTTTTAACGCTAAAGAAGTATCGTTAATGAAATCAGAAGCGTTCAAAAGAATCTATATTTATACTAAGAAGTAAGCTACAGTAAGTAAATATCGAAAATACTGTAATAGTACCCCACCCCCATGACGATTTGAAAGATGTGTGCTTAGTCTAACTTGAGTTTTTCTCCCTGGTTTATGCTACAATGAGCTGTACAGGCACAAATAGCGCCTGAATTCACTCAGCTTTTTTTGATACGCAAAGCGCATTTTGATGTGAAATACAGGCGCTTTGAAAAATGGAATATACTAAAAACTTTTGCGACTACGACTGTACTTGTAATTGCTAATAAAGTAAACCGTAAATACTGTAATAGTTACCCGACCCCCTCGTACAGTTGCGTAGTCGCAAAAGTTTGTTTTGAGTATTTCGGTTTTCAAAGCCCATTTCTCTAAAAATACAGTTTTGGTATCAAAAAAACAGCTGGAAAATCAGGGCTATTTTTTTGATCCCTAAACGAGCATTGTAGCATAAACCAGTGTTGAGGAAACTCGTCCAAAGTTAGACTACGCAGCACTCCCCACCGTCATTGGGGCGTGGGAAAATGTCAGCAAGTTAAGTGGTAAATAGTTTTCTATAAAAATCGTTGAGCTAATTTTGCTTTTGTTTGATTCTATCAGAGTCAATTCGAGGGGCAAAACAGGCTTTACCTTGACTAGTAGTATTAAAATCTTGATTTTGATTTTTAAATCTTGATTTTTTATAGACTATCAATGAAGGTAAAGCTTCGTTTTGGCTTTCTGAATTGACTTGATAGATCAAAACAAGCCTAACTTAAGCTTATCAATAAAATTTTGATTTTAAAACTTCAGAATCCTTCAATCGATCTTCATCCAGAAAATGTTCATGGTTATGAATCCATTTGAGAAAGATGATTGAAATTTCTGTCAGTAAAAAAGATTGTACCATTTCCAGTGCAATTTCTATGGACATCACATTGTCGATTTAAAAGTATTTCCTTCAAGGCAAAGAATGTAGGCTTTTAAACATGAAAGATTTACACGCACAATAAAGATTAACATTAATCAAGCTTATTCAACAAGGAAAATCCCAAATCACAAAATCACAAAAGAACAAAAGAACAAAAAGAGAGAGAAAAACCACAAGCCTCACTCATAGCCGTCAGGGGCCTTTCCAAGTTTCTTAATTAGTAAGTGAAAACGATAAAAAGCTCTAGAATCACAACAACAAAAACACAATAAGACAAGATTGACATAGATTGAATTTGAGATTTGAAAGATTTGAAGATTTGAAGATCGAAATTTTTCAGAATAATTTCTTTTTATCATTTATTGATTTAGCGAGTCGTCATTGTTTTTTAATGAAAATTAGTGCAAAATGGAAAGTGAAATGACTTTTAGCTGACTTTAGCTGAAACTGACCTCGTGCAACTTTAGCTGACTTAGAATAGTCATTAAAGCTTTCGATTTTACACTATCTTTTTCGAAAAGCTACAGTAGCTACAGTAAGACCAACTTTTCAACCGGGTAGGAATCTTTTTCTCTTCTACATTTCCCGGATACGATGGAGGTGGACTTCTCAACGGTTTCTGAAGAAATAGCTTTAAAAATTCGATTTCGTTTAGAAGAATAGCAAGATTACGATCGTGTGATGGATCGAAAGTTGACTTTTTGACGTTAAAGAGCACGTGTGGCTGACTGGTTAAGTGTCTTTTATCTTAATCGGAAGGTCGAGGGTTCGAACCCTACATGTGACATGGTCACCCCCCTTCGGATTTCCTTTCCCTTCGGGTTGAAGAGGTTTTTGGGAGGGGCAGTCTGGTAAGTTGTAGCCCCAGTTCTTTAAAGTGGCGGATAAGCCACTCCTTCATTCGTCATCTTCCCTTCACCACCAAAAAGCTATTTAGTTCCTCCATTGACAGGGTTAGGGGAGTCGTCTGTCATGACGTGGGTTAGTTAAGATATAGCCTAGTATTGTGTATGTCGTTGTATTGTGATTGATATATTTCGTGTATGCGATAAATTCACCACTGGTAGCCCCAGTCGGTATTTTTAAAGCTACCGTAATCTTGAGTAATCCTTTTTTAAAATCAACACGCCTATTTTAGAAAAAGCTTTTAGAAATCAAGGGAAACTCTCGTCTAAACGTTCCTGCTATTGGTTAAACAATGGGTTACAGTTATAAACATTTATATGGGTTAACAAACTCACTTTCTGACTTGACGAACAAATTCGACCACATGAGGATCAAGATGAGCAACTATAAGTTTAGTTGTGCTTAAGATACAGATACCGTATTTCTTCGAAAGACCGGGTACAGGGTATGATCGCGTACTCCTGCGTAGAAGCCCTTTTAAAATTTCTTTTCTTAAAATCTTTCAATGAAGTGCTATAGAGCTGGAAAATGCCTCAAAAACCTGTTAGCTCATGTGGTATTTTTGAGTCATTTTCTCAGCTCTGATACACTTCACGCTGCGTCATGGCGGAAAAGAAATTTTAAAAGGCTCGCTACGCAGGAGCACGCGATGATACTTAGCCCGGTCCTATTCTGAAGAAATACGGTATTTTACTAGATATAGGAAAATTTCAAGCCGAACCCTAATTCCACCTTTCGTTTTCTCGGTCATTTCCTTGACCGATTACTCTGTGTCTAGATTTCTATCTGTAGACAAAATTTCCAGACGTTTCCAGAAGATCGATCAAGAAAACAAAGGATGGATTTCGGTTTGGATTGGAATCTTTCTTATGTCTAATCTTTTACCGGTCTATAGAAGCATGGGAAGCAGAGAACGGACAAAATGGTGATAATGAACGGGAGATAGAGCATGAAGGATAGTCCCGATTTCCCAATGAATTGAAGACCAAGCGTGAGCCAATATTGTCATTACCGCCTGATGGAAAAGGCACCTAAAGAGAAGGATTTATATTCTTAAGGTTATCTCTTTTTTTGAAATTACTATAAACAGAAAAAGTGCGTTTGCGAAGTGAGTGACTGGTACATGCAAGTTTGACATGCTTTTGTTTCAATTTTTTTTCATTTCCCTTTTGAAATGAACTTTGAAACTGATCGTGAACTATTAAATAAATGAGTTTTATTTGATATTTATTTTGATAATATAAAAGAACTTAAGATCTTCATTACTTGTACTTATTCGCAAAGCCATCTGAAAAGAGTTTAGAAAAAATTCATTGGATTTAGATCAATTTAAGATCAAAAAAAACAAATTTAGATCATTTTCTTTAAAGAAAAGTACCAGATGTAAACATTTGCATGAGTTCGAGCATCTCATCACTAGAAAATTTAGTGAAGAGAGAATTGAACGAGAGGGACTGGAGACATATGGGATGATGAGAACCTGAAAGAAAAGTTGATAAGCGATAGAGCGATTCGCCATTATTGTAATCTACTATAAGATTTATAGAAATGACTTAGATAGATCTGGTTATAGATTCCGACCGATCTATAGATTTATAAATCTATTTTACTCTAACCAAAAGAAAAAGTTAGTTGATGGTAACCTCTCTTGGTTACTGTAGCACTTCTAAGGAAAAATATGATAACGACAGATCAAAAAAACCCACTTCTGCGAAATACAGTGTGCACTCTAGCTTCAAGAAATGCAAAAATGAAAGATTTCTCAGGCGTTCGAAGGTGTTGGAGGAATAGCGCCCGAAGATTTGAGAGGTAACATGTGGGCAAATTATCAAACTCAAAGGAATCAATCGTTCAGACTTTCTCTCGTTTTTAAAATTCAATCCAACT